GTGGCAGTCAGCCATGGACGCAGAGATGGCTTCCTGGAAGTCCACAGGCACCTACGTCGACGAGGTTCCCCCACCTGGGGCGAACATCGTCAGTGGCATGTGGATTTTCAGGGTGAAGCGGCCGCCGGGTTCTCCGCCTGTCTTCAAGGCGCGTTACGTGGCTCGAGGCTTCAGTCAGCGGCAGGGAGTTGACTACTTTCAGACCTTCTCTCCCACCCCGAAGATGACCACTCTTCGGGTGCTGCTGCACATAGCCGCTCAGCGCGACTACGGGCTTCACTCTCTTGACTTCAGCACAGCTTTCTTGCAGGGCAGCCTGCACGATGAGATCTGGCTGCGCCGCCCACCTAGCTTCACTGGGTCGTTTCCTCCTGGTACCCAGTGGAGCCTCCGGCGGCCAGTCTACGGTCTCCGCTAGGCGCCCCATGAGTGGCACGACACATTGAGGACTACACTTGCGGCTCTTGGGTTTGCTCCTTATACTGCCGACCCGTCACTGTTTCTACGCACCGACACCTCTTTGCCGCCGTTCTACATCCTCGTGTACGTCGACGACTTGGTCTTTGCCACTGCTGACACTGCTGGACTCGCCCACGTGAAGTCCAAGCTGCAGAAGAGACACACGTGCACAGACCTGGGTGAACAGCGCAGCTACCTTGGCTTGCAGATCACCCGGGAAAGAGCACATCGCACCATTACCCTGACTCAGTCAGACATGGTGCAGCAGGTCCTTCAGCACTTCGACTTCACGTACTCCTCGCCTCAGGCCACTCCTCTGTCTACTCGCCACTCGCTCTCAGCTCTGCCTTCGGATGAGTCCGTAGAGCCGAGTGGCCCGTACCCAGAGCTTGTTGGCTGCCTCATGTACCTGATGACCTGCACTCGACCTGACCTTGCATACCCTCTTAGCATCTTGGCATGCTATGTTGCTCCTGGGAGACATCGACCAGAGCACATGGCTACAGCGAAGAGGGTGTTGCGGTACTTGTGCAGTACGTCGGGCATGGGGCTAGTACTTGGAGGGCGGCGTTCAGTAGTCCTAACAGGTCACGCAGACGCTTCTTGGGCTGACGACCAGGCTACGCAGCGGTCGTCACAGGGTTACACCTTCAGCCTTGGTTCCGGCTCTGTTTCGTGGCGGTCTACCAGCTCGTCTTCTGTTCTCGGCTCCAGCTGTGAGGCTGAGATCTACGCAAGGGCCATGGCTGCACAGGAGCTACGCTGGCTCACCTACCTGCTGACTGACCTAGGAGAGCCGCCTCGTTCTCCTCTAGTTCTGTACGTAGACAACAAGGCCATGCTGGCCTTGTGTCGGGAGCACAGACTGGAGCACAGAACGAAGCACATTGCTCTTCGCTACTTCCTTGCTCGTGAGCTGCAGCAGCGTGGTCAGCTGCGCCTTGCTTACGTGGCCTCTCAGGCCAACACTGCTGATATCTTTACCAAGGCACTTCCGCCTTGTGATCATCAGCGCTTTTGTACGATGCTAGGTCTTGTGCCTACTTGGCCTCACTTGCTCACTGCTTGACCTTGCTTGTACTGTGATCCATCTATACCTGCACTTGCTTGTTTACCTATATATATATAATCTTGCATGTGAACTGGCCTTGTGGCCTTGAACTTGTGCTCGGAATGTGTGGTGACGTTGTGATCCACCCTGAGCTTACTGTGCTTTGCTTGACTGGTCTTGTGACCTCTTGTTCTCCCCCACTTTGCCTATGGGGGTGTGTCAAACTTATATGCTATAGTCTGTGTAGGCTGTAGTGGGGTTGACAATATGGAGTACAACACTTTTAGCTTTTCCTACTTGTACCCACCTGTTTCCTAGTGCATTCATTCCTCGTTATTTTCACACAGTGATGCGGCCAATCAAAAGTGACAAGTCAAATATGCCAGCCAATCGCATGATCACGCGTTCCTTCAGGATAACTACCTCCCAGCTTCTGCAAAGCTAAATCCTCGATTGATGCCATTAATCGAGGCCCATTTAATGCGAACCGAACACTCGGGCCCATTTTTCTGAAGTTGCACTGCAGCTACAGTCTGATATCTCAACTGTTTGGAGGGGGCATTTTTTGGGGGCCCGTTAAAAAAGCCCATAATGGCCATAATGACCATAATTTCTGCAGAACTGGGCCTTAGGACGCGTCACAATTGCAACACCGATCCCCTAGGGTATCGATGTTTGGGGTGTACAGTACTTCGTAGAACTGTGTATCCTTATTTCGCAATGTTTCGCTAAGACTCGAGTCACGTCACCAAGGGAGATGTCTCTTCCAGATCGATCTGTCACCGTACTCAAATCAAGCGTAATCAATTACAACTTTCAGAAACGTTTCTAACCCCGCAAAATTAGGACCGTGAGGACGATCCCGACACATGTGGCTCGGAGGAGATTGATGTTTACAGCTTCAGTGTGCGACCTTGATCTTCGCCGGTGTTGCAATTGTGACGCGTCCTTAGGTCCGGTTTACTGTAGCAAACCCAAGGCCATTCTTTTAATGCCTGCCGAACTGGGCCTTCGTTTGAGCATCTGTCCAGGGCTCAGGTGGAAAAAAACCGTTGCCGCAGGACAAGGCTAGAATTGCGCTGATCAGGAGTTTGGTTTGGGTTTGAACTGGGGTCAACGCTCCTCACTGGGAACCTGAAGCCAGACTGAAACCATACAAACCGCTACGCATCCACACTAAACACTCCCGACCTCAGCATGGTGGGGATTACAGCTGGTGTAGCGAGGCGACGTCTCCATGTTTCAATTTCAACGCCTGCTGTGCCCAGCAATTGCTACTGTACAAAATCAGAGCGTCGCGGCGGGCCATACATGTACCTCCCCTCCCTCACTCCCAAAGGTATTCGCGATTCGACGCGTTTTTTTTTTTTTTTTTTTTTTTTTTTGTGGGCACTTCCTCCTCATGAGTGTACCACAAGGGAGAAACCTCACAGCTCAGCTCAGCTCTGGCAGGCTTGGTTCGTCTTGGTTCGGCTCAGCTCGGTAGGCACACCATCACATCACACCTCACACCTCCACGACGATGACATGCTTCGCCACGCCTTCGAATTCAGTACTGCTGTGGTGGACATGCGATGGAGACTGCCCTGCGGCCATGCGACGTATACCATGCGAGTTACTTTATCGCGTTCTTTCGCGTGTCCTCGCCTTCCCTCGACCATCTGTCCTCCCTTCCCAACCCATCCCTGCCAAACCCCCCTCCCTTTCCTCTCCTCGCTCCCATGTTTCCTCCCCATCCACTGAGAGAATTACTGTAGAACCCTGTTTAGTGATTCATTCTTACTCGCGTGGCTTTGAATTACTCGAGTGGCCACCGAATTTGGTGATAATTACTGGAGTGGCCACGCCAGGGCATTTTCGAGGAGTTGTTTTCCCCGGCACATTTCCCTACAAGGGTTTGTATCCTCGAAATTCCTCGTTCGCACGAGTCTCATCCCGAGGTAGCGTTTTCGTACTATTCCCCACCCGAAAAAAACTAAAACCCACTCGGAAGGCATGCCATCCGAGGGAGCCTCAACCCTAAAATTTTAGGGTTGAGGCTCCCGAATGGCATGCTGTAAGCCGTGGGGTTTATTTTTTCACCTTAGGGTAATGCGTCGGTAAAAAAAGCCAGCGGGAATCCCCTGGCCTGGCCACTCGAGTAATTATCACCAAATTTGGTGGCCACTCGAGTAATTCGAGGCCACGCGAGCAAGGACGAATCACCGAACAGGACACTGGAGAAATTCTCTCCCATCCACTCCACAAGCAGCCTTCCGCCATTCATCATCACTCGAGCACCAACCAGCCACTTGTTGATTCTCACCTCACGCAAGCAACAAGTGCACCTCCCCCGTTCGTCGGCTTCATTTCTCAAGCTTGGTCCATCTCTCTTCCCACTCTCGTATTCACGCGCCTCCAAGCACGCAACATCCAATAATTGCGTCATTCGACGCTCCTTGCTCGGATGCGCCATTCAATAATTGTGTCATTCACCCCTCCTTGCTCGAACCTCCAAACAGCCCTTGAAGAGGAGCATAGAAAGCGCGCCATTCGACTGGATTGCTCAACCGACTTTTCAGACGTCTCGAAAGCGCGCCATTTGACTGAATTGCTCAACCGTCCGTTTGCTGTATATTATTAGGGAGCATCGTCTAAACTCGAATGCTTGATTCAAAGGCTCGTCTTTGGTCGCCGCGCACCCGCAACCAGGCCCGCCATTGAAGCAGTTCCTTAGAAGGCTGAACGAGATAATAGTGCAGCAGCTATTGGACTAACTCCATTGGATCTCGTTCATTAAAGGGCGGCTGGGTATCAATCGACGTGTACTACGGCCCCATATTGGGAACAGCGGCTGAATCTATTTCAGAGCGCCAAAGAATTAGACTCGAATATCCGCGCCGCAGTGGCAGAAAAGAAGCACCTTCTTGCCTCAAGCTTGGTCTGAAGCTTGCGAGCAACCCTTGTTTGTGAATATTCCTCGCACCAGTACCGCATTCGCTCCTAAGTTTCCGCTCCTGAGCTTTTCGCTTCTCGCCTTTCGCCCCTGACCGTCAGAAGCGAATCATCTCGTATCCATCGATTACGTCGCTGGTTTCCTGGCTCAGCTGCCAGAAGCACATTCGATTGTAGAACGCGCGAAGTAGCAGCTTCCGCGCAGTAGCTTCTCCGGAACAATCGGCGCAATGAGGATCTCCGCTCGGTTCCCCGTGCGCCTCAACGTCTTCCGCCTGTCCGTCGCCCTCATCGCCGCCACCTGCCTCCTCGCTCTCCCAGGTCCGTCCTTCCACCTGCCTCCTCGCTCTCCCAGGTCCGTCCTTCCATCGATGTCGCCGCTGGCTTGCTAGATTCGTCGCCTTGCCAGGCTGATCGTTCTGTCGGAATCCCTTGCCTCGGATTGTCACGGAAGCGCGCTCATCGAGACCATCGGACTGCATAATCCAACGGCGGTCAGGAATCCGTATATGAGTGCATCATGCGCGAATCAACGCCGGAGAAGACGCAGTTTCGGATGCGCCAATCGGACGGCCAGAGTGAGAGCTCCCAAGCTCCGCAATGGCTGTCCTCTCCGTCCGGAGTCCTTGCGCAGACGCGCAGAACGCGCGGAGACGGCCGAACGCGCGGAGAGGATAAGCTCTTGTCCCCCTCCTCCCCACACCTTCTCCGCTTTCCCGGCTTTCCTGGTTTCCCTTTCCCTCTCCCCCACCTCTATCCTGCACCGCGCGCGCAGCCCTTTGAGCAACCGCTGGTCATCCCGTTTCTTCCCCTCCCCGCTCTTCCCCTCCCCGCTCTTCCCCTCCCCGCTCTTCCCCTCCCCGCTCTTCCCCTCCCCGCTCTTCCCCTCCCCATTCTTCTCCTCCCCTCCCCACTCTCCCACTCTCCCTTCTCCCCCACCCAAAACTTCAACCCGCGCGCAGACGTTTCGTGTGAGCTTCAATCCCATTTCTTCCGCCCCCTTTTCCCCCTTTCGTTCCTCTCCATCCCTCCCCCTCCCCCACTTCCACTCCCCCATCTCCCTTCCCCCCAAACCCCCCCACCCCCCCTTGCGCAACTGCAGCGCGCGCGCAGTCGTTCCGCGTGAGCTCGAATCCCGCGCTGGCGGAGCTGAAGCTGGAGCACCTCAACCGCTTCTTCCGCAGCCTCACCGTGGCTTATAACGAGTCGGAGGAGTGGTGGGAGCCCGAGCTTTCCGTCGACTGGCGATGGGACGACCGACTCAAGCCCGTGCTGGGGCTGCGCACGGAAGGGGCCTGCAGTAAGTACTGCTGCTCTTAACGGGTATGCCACAAGCGATTTTTTTTATATCGAGTCGGAGGATTGGTGGGAGCCTGATCTCTCCATCGACTGGCGGTGGGACGACCGACTCAAACCCGTGCTGGGGCTGCGCACAGAGGGGGCCTGCAGTAAGTACCGTGCTGCGGCTGTTGCTCTTACTGAGTCTGCTACAAGCGAAACAACTTATAACGAGTCGGAGTAGTGGTGGGAGCCTGGGCTTTCTGTGGATTGGCGATGGGACGACCGCCTGAAACCCGTGCTGGGGCCGCGCACGGAGGGGGCTTGCAGCAAGTACTGTGCTGGGGCTGTTGCTCTTAACGAGTCTGCTACAAGTTGCTTGTAGCGAGTCGGAGTGGTGGGAGCTCGACATCTCCGTGGATTGGCGATGGGACGACCGCCTGAAATCCGTGCTGGGGTTGCGCACGGAAGGACCTTGCAGTAGGCACTGCTGCTCTTAACGAGTCTGCTACAACCAGACGGTAGCAGCTATGGCGACAGTGACGATGGCATACGCGATACTAGCTCCTGCGTTTCCCTCTGCTTTCGTCACCTCCACTGGCCCCCACCTTTCCGCGCGCTGTCACCCTCCCCTCTCCGCCTACTCCCTTCTCCCGCACTTCCTCAGAGTGCTCGTGGGCAATAACGGTCGTGGCGATGGCGAGTTGACTTTTGAGTCGACTCAAAAGTCCACCCCTCCCCTCTCCTCTTACTCCCTTCTCCCGCACTTCCTCAGAGTGCTCGTGGGCAATAACGGTCGTGGTAATGGCCCCTCCTCATAAGGCGAGTGCATGCGATAGTTGCGGCAGCTCCTGCACTTCCCTCTCCTGTTTCGTCCTCTCACCGTTTCCCTTCCCTCTTCCCCCATCCCCGTCCCCCTTCCCCCCTTACAGAGGCCTCGTGGGCAATAACGGCCGTGACAGCCGTGGAAATGGCATACGCGATAGTAGCTCCCGCGTATCCCAATCTGCCGCCCGCAGCGCGCGTATCGGTGCAGCAGGTGGTGGACTGCGAGCCCAGCAACAGCAGCTGCAGCGGCGGCGGGTGGCCCACGTCAGCGCTGGACTACATGGTGGACGCGACTCAGGCGAATGGGGGCCTGGCGACCGAGGCTGCTTACCCGTACACGCAGAAGCAGGGCGTTTGCAACGCCACTAGGGTGAGAACGAAGTGTTTGTGGCTGTGATCGTGTTTGTGGCTGTGGCTGTGCTTGAGGCTGGCGGTGGCTGTGCGATGTGCACGTTGGTTGTGGCTATGGCCTCGGCTGTGGCTATGGCCTCGGCTGTGGCTATGGCCTCGGCTGTGGCTGCGACGGTTGCTGTGCAGTAGTGTGCGTCGTGATTGGATGCGCGGGGGGAGCAGGGAGCGTGCAACGCAGCAGGGGTGAGAGAGCGCGCCCAAGGCCATCGGGGTTACCCTGGACGACCCTCACACCCCTGGATTTGGAGTGTTGTTGACGTCACACACCCCTTCCTTCCCTCCTTCCCCTCCTTCCCACCTCTCCCATTCACCTGCATGTGTGCGCGGCAGGCAAAGAAGCTGCTGTGGAGGAGCGCGCGCCCAAGGCCATCGGGGATACCGGGTACGACCACGTGTCGACCCCACACACCCCTTCTTCCCCCTTTCCTTCTCTTTCCCACTGTCCGTTCCTCTATCTCTCTCCAGGCAAAGAAGCTACTTTTGAGGCGCCTCGAAAGCCTTCTCTCCCCCCCTGCCCGTTCCTCTCTCTCTCTCCAGGCAAAGAAGCTGCTGCGGAGGAGCGCGCCCAAGGCCATTGGGGATACCGGGTACGATCACGTGTTGTTGACCTCACACACCCCTGTTTTCCCTCCTTCCCCTCCCTCGCGCCTCTCCCATTTCCCCTGACCTCACGCACAGGCAAAGAAGCTGCTGAGAGAGAGCGCGCCCAAGGCCATCGGGGTGATTGGGTACGACCCGGTGGACTTCTTTGGCTGGCTGGGGCTCACGCTTGCTGTGCAGGTGACGGCGGGTTGGGAAGGGCGTTAGGGGTGAGCGGCGCGAAAGGTTGGGGAAAGAGGGGAAGGGAAACGAGTGATCGGGTATGACGTGGTGGACTCGTTTGGCTGGCTGGGGCTCACACTTGCCGTGCATGTGAGGGAGGGCGATGGCTGGGCTGTGGGACAGAGGGTGAGTGAGAGGACCAATGTGCGACAGAGGGTGAGAGGAGCAGTGTGCGACGGAGGGTGAGTGAGAGGATCACGTGCGACAGAGGGTGAGAGGATGAGAGGGAGGATGGATAGAAAGTTGTGGTCACCTTTGGAAATAAGCAACCATGTAACCTTTGCTTATGGTTGTGGTCTCTGCTCCATATTCCTGCCCCTACTCCTTGTTATTTAGTTACAACGCACCTTAACATTCTTCTTAATCCCCTGCTCGAATTTTACCCAATTTCTCTACCTCTCTTCCCAATGCAGACCCAACCCACCATTGCCTTGAAGTTTTGAGACGTCTCAAAATTGAATTATACCCATTCTCTCCCTCTCTTCCCGATGCAGACCCAACCCACCATTGCCTTCGTGAGAGGCAGCCATCCCACCTTCCTATCCTACCGCAGGGTGAGTCAACGCCAGTCAATGCTAGTCAGCAGCACCATTTAATGCCAGTCAATGTCAGTCAACGCTAGTCAACGCAGATCAACAATAATCAAGGCCAGTCAGCATCAGTCAATGCAACTCAATGCCAGTCATTGCTAGTCAGCACAAGTCAATGCTAGTTAATACAGGTCAGAGTATTTCTGAGCATCTAATGCAGTGCGTGGGAGTCAGGACACATCAGTAACGGGCAGGTGGGTTGCGCAGGCCTTACTTCCATCAAATGGTGCTAGTCAATACGCAAGTGCTGGATTAAGTTGACGTTTTGTTTAAACTGGCTCTCTAAGACAACGCCCTAAGCTCACGGTTAACCGGGAAATCCATCCATCCCATGGGGCTTGTCTCGTCGTTTTAAATAGCCATACAAGTTGATGGAAGTAAGACCTCCGCAGCCCACCTGTCTGCGTTCGACAACTCTAGCAGGTGGGTTGCGCAGGCCTGACTTCCATCAAATGCAGTGCGTGGGAGTCAGCTCGAGGCAATGCAGTGTGGGAGTCAACCGTATAACCCAACGTACGAAACTTGCTGTCTTGCCTCTCTCTCCGGCCTCCCTCTCCTGCCCCACCCTTCCCTCAGGGCACGTACAACGACCGAGCGTGTGCGGCAGAGGTGGTGGATCACAGCGTGGTGGTGATGGTGGGGTATGAGCTGGACAATCTTAACTTGCATGCATTGCACTGCTCTGTGCTTACCCTTTCCCTTCTCCCTTCCCCACTTTCCTCCACCCTTCCCTCAGGGCACCTACAACGACGGAGCGTGTGCGGCAGGGGTGGTGGATCACAGCGAGGTGGTGGTGGGGTATGAGCTGGACGACTGTTATCTCACTTCCATCGCCTCTCCCCACTCTTCCACTCTCCTGCCTCCCTCTCTCTCCTGCCTCCCTCTCTCTCCTGCCTCCCTCTCTCTCCTGACCCACCTGCCATCAGGGCACGTACAACGACCGAGCGTGTGCGGCGGGGGGGGTGGTGGATCACAGCGTGGTGGTGGTGGGGTATGAACTGGACGACTACTACACTCTGCCCTACTGGATCATCCGCAATTCCTGGGGCGACAAGTGGGGCGAGAAGGTTAGTGGGGCGATGGGATGGGATGGGATGGGATGGGATGGGATGGGATGGGATGGGATGGGATGGGACGGGTGTGACGGCCTGAAGTGGATCATGGGCTTGATTGACAGGGTGGAGGCGAGGAAAAGGGGGAGGGGAAGTGGGGGGAAGGGTGGTGGTGGTGGAGAACGGGTTGGGCATGGCTACATGCGCATGGCCATGGTGGGAGGGAGATGCTTGCTTCGTGTTGTGCTCTGTGATCCACCACCCATCCACCACCCATCCACCACCCATCCACCCCCCATCCACCACCCATCCACCACCCATCCACCACCCATGCACCACCCATGCACCACCCATGCACCACCCATGCACCACCCATCCATCACCCATCCACCACCCATCCACCACCCATCCACCACCCATCCACCACCCATCCACCACCCATCCACCCCCCATCCACCACCCATCCACCCCCCATGCACCACCCATCCACCACCCATGCACCACCCATGCACCACCCATGCACCACCCATGCACCACCCATGCACCACCCATGCACCACCCATCCACCACCCATCCACCACCCATCCACCACCCATCCACCACCCATCCACCACCCATCCACCACCCATCCACCACCCATCCACCACCCATCCACCACCCATCCACCACCCATCCACCACCCATGCATCCATCACCCATCCACCACCCATCCACCACCCATCCACCACCCATCCACCACCCATCCACCACCCATCCACCACCCATCCACCACCCATCCACCACCCATCCCCTCCCCACCCCTCTCCCCACCCTCCTCCCCTCTCCCCGCTCCCTCTCGTGCAGGGCTGGCTACATGCGCAGCGCATGGCCATGGTGGGGGCATCTGGAATTGACTGTACCGCCTCACACACACGCACACTACCCATACCTTTCCGCACCGCCCCTCTTCCCTTCCCCTTCCCTTCCCCTTCCCACTCCCCGTCCCCCGCCTCTCCCTTCCCGCAGGGCTACATGCGCATGGCGATGGTGGGAGGAATCGGCATATGTGGCATTCACTCAGTGCCGGCCATCTATCCCGTCATTAAGAGTGAGTTAGTTGGCCTACGTCTGTGTGCGCGCACACACAAACCCATGCACACACACATGGAAGCACATGCGTGCACGCGTGCACACACACACATACATGTGCACATGATCACATGTGCACACGCACACACATACAGACACACGTCTCATTTCCTTCTCTCTCCTCCACTCCTCCGCTTCTGCTCCCTGTCCCCCATCCCTCCCTCCCTCCCTCCCTCCTTCCCTCTCTCCCTCCCTCCCTCTCTCCCTCTCTCCCTCCCTCCCTCCCTCCCTCCCTCCCTCCCTCCCTCCCTCCCTCCCTCTCTCTCTCTCTCCCTCCCTCCCTCCCTCCCTCCCTCCCTCCCTCCCTCCCTCCCTCCCTCCCTCCCTCCCTCCCTCCCTCCCTCCCTCCCTCCCACCCTCCCTCCCTCCCTCCCTCCCTCCCTCCCTCCCTCCCTCTCGCGCACCCGTCTCGCCCACGCACCAACGGCAGCCCCATCGCCCTGCAACGATGACATCAACCCATGCGGCTGGGGAGACTGTGCTGCCAACACTGACGGCCCCTCCCCGCCCTATGTGTGCTCCTGTGCGGACGGCTTTGTACCAGTCACCAACAACGACGGCACCCCCACATGCGCTCTAGGTGAGTGTTGTTGCTGTGCTGCTGCTGCAGCATTTGGTCTGGCTGGCTGCTCTTTGCTCCCGCGGACTGCTGCTCTCCGCTGCTGCACCCCTCTGCTCCACCCTACATGTGCTCCTTTGCGGATGGCTTTTGTGCCGGTCACCAATAGCGACGGTACTCCCAACTGTGCTCTAGGTGAGTGTGCTGCTGCTGTTGATGTGGCTGCTCTTTGTCTCTACTGTGTGCTGCTGCTGTTGATGTGGCTGCTCTTTGTCTCTACTGTGTGCTGCTGCTGTTGATGTGGCTGCTCTTTGTCTCTACTGTGTGCTGCTGCTGTTGATGTGGCTGCTCTTTGTCTCTACTGTGTGCTGCTTTCTGCTGCCACACCCCTCGGCTCCACTCCACCCTACGTGTGCTCCTGTGCGGACGGCTTTGTGCCCGTCACCAATAGCAACGGCACTCCCACCTGTTCTCTAGATGGGTGGTTTCGCTGCTGTATATCGCCTTGTGCTGCTCTGTACCTTCGATCTTTCACGTGTGCTTCTGACGTGTGCTCCTGTGCTGACGTGTGCTCCTGTGCTGACGTGTGCTCCTGTGCTGACGTGTGCTCCTAACCATTTACTCCCGTCCCCTTTGTCGGCTCCTTTCCCTTATTTCTCTCCAGACGTGTGCTCGTGGTTTGAGGGCGACAACCCCTGTGGAGTGGGCTTGTGTCTGAGCGATTGTTGTTCCGTATGCCCACTCAATCTCCTCCCTCCCTTCTCCCCGTTCCTCTTCTCTTCCCTCCTGACCCCTCTCCCTCACACCAGACGACGTGTGCTCGTGGTTTGAGGGCGGCAACCCCTGTGGAGTGGGCTCGTGTCTGAGCGACAGCGAGGGCGGCTACCTTTGTCTCTGCCCGCCGGGCTTCAAGCGCGGGCTTCGGGCGGGCGGCACTGAGCTCTGTGTGCCCAGTGAGTCGCTGCAGGCTTTAGGGCTTACCTGCTCCCCAGAGTAGAAACGATGTTCTCTGCACTGAGCTCTGTGTGCCCAGTGAGTACGTGCCTGCAACCCGTGGGGCGTAAGCGTTCTCGCATGTGTTACCTTACCTTCGTCTCTGTCCGCCCGGCTTCAAGCGATGCCTACATGCGGGCGGGCGGCACTGAGCTGTGTGCCCAGTGAGTCGCTGCAGGGTGTTATAATGGGGTGCAAGTGTTGCAAGAATGGGGTTCTAATTAAGGGCCCTTGCTGCTCTGCTCCCGCTCTCTCCTCCCTGTGTCACCCCTCTCGTCCTCCCTTCCTCCCTCCCCTCGTCCGTCCCTCAAGCTCCTGACCGCCCACCCATCATCTCCTACCCCATGGGCGTGCACTGCGAGCTCGTGTATCAGATTCCCTTACCCTCTCCCTCCCACCCCCCCCCACTCCCACGTTCTCCTCTCCCTCCCCTTCCGCCAGCCGCCGAGCTCCCCGCCCACCCATCGTCTCCCACTCCATGGACGTGCACGCGCACTGCGAGCTCGTGTATTAGGCTCACTCACTGTCTCCTCGCCCATTCCCCCCATCTCCCCTCTCTCTCTTCCCCACACCAAGCCCAGCCGCCAAACCGCCCAACCAACATCTCCTGTTCAATGGACGTGCACTGCGAGCTGGTGTATCAAATCTCCTTACTTATTCCCACTCACACTTGCTCCCACATCCTACCCTTCCTCCCTCCTTTCCCTCTTCTCTCCCTGCAACCGCTGAGCGCCCCAGCAACATCTCATACCCCATGGACGTGCACTGCGAGCGCGTGTACCAGATCCACTTACCCTCTCCCTCCCAACCGCCCCTCACTCCCACGTTCTCCTCTCCCTCTCCTGTTCTTCAGCCGCGGAGCGCCCCAGCAACATCTCATACCCCATGGACGTGGACTGCGAGCTGGTGTATCAGATCTACGGGCTGGACGAGGAGCAGTTCCTCGCTCAGAACCCTGACCTGGTGAGCGCTGCTGGGTTGGACTCGGTGCTGCTGGGTTGGACTCGGTGCTGGTGGGTTGGACTCGGTGCTGGTGGGTTGGACTCGGTGCTGGTGGGTTGGACTCGGTGCTGTTTTAGTGATGAATGATCACTGCTGCCTGTTGCATAGACGCCTGTCCATCCATCCATCCATCCATCCATCCATCCATCCATCCATCCATCCATCCATCCATCCATCCATCCATCCATCCATCCATCCATCCATCCATCCATCCATCCATCCATCCATCCATCCATCCATCCATCCATCCATCCATCCATCCATCCATCCATCGAGAACGAGGAGGGGTGGTGTGACACGGTTTGGGTAACACAGTGGTCAACTTCATGCGCCCTCATCTTTCCATGCGCTCATGTCTTTCCTTCCCACTGCTCGCCCTTCTCGCTCTGCCCTCGTTTTCTCTGCTCTCCATCCATCCATGTGTGCACTTCTTTCCAGGAGAACGGCGAGGGTTGGTGCGAAACGGTTTGGGCCAACGCAGTGTTCAACATCACTCTCTGCCCCTCTCTGCTGCCCATGCATGCACTCATCTCTCTCCTTCCCGTTGCTCTCCCTTCTCTCTCTTCCCCGCTTTTGCTCGCCATCCATCAATGTGTCATGTACGCGTCCATCCATGTGTGCCCTTATATCTATCCAGGAGAACGATGAGGGCTGGTGTGACATGATTTGGGCCAACACAGTCGTCAACGTCACTCTGCCGCCCTCTGCAATCATCTGTGGCCTCTTCTATTCCTGGTCCTCTGTAAGTCTCTTCCTCCCCTTGCTCGTTTCAATTCAAACCCGATCCTCTGTAGCGCTCTGCTCCCCCTTGCCTGCTGTCATCTGCGGCCTCTTCTACCCCCGGTGGTCCTTCTTAAAAATAAGTCGCCATTTTTTAGGCGCCTCAAAAGTCGACCCCCGGTGGTCCTTCTTGAGTCCAATAATAATCAAGTCTCCACCCCGGGTCCTCGAAAACAGAAACTGCCCAGTGAGTTGACTTTTGAGTCGACTCAATAGTGAGGCTCTCCCCCTTATCTCCCGCTCTCCACGCGTCGGTTTTGAGATAAGGGGGAGAGCGGGAGATAAGGGGGAGAGCGGGAGATAAGGGGGAGAGCGGGAGATAAGGGGGAGAGCCTCACTATTGAGGTTCTCCCGCTCTCAAAAGCACTCTTCTTTCAAGTGAGGTTCTCCCCTTATCTCCCGCTCTCCTCGCCACGCGTTGCACCCTCCCATGTTGGAGTTGCATTTGGAGTCGCTCCCTCCCTCTCCTCCTCTCCCTACTCCCATACTCGTCCTTTCCCCTCTCCTTGCTCTCCTGTTGTCATCCATTCGCCACTGCTTGCTCTCCTGTTTTCATCCCTTCCCCTCTGCTTGCTCTACTGTTTTCATCCCTTCCCCTCTGCTTGCTCTACTGTTTTCATCCCTTCCCCTCTGCTTGCTCTACTGTTTTCATCCCTTCCCCTCTGCTTGCTCTACTGTCCCCTCCCTCCCTCCCTCCCTTCTCACTCCCCCCCCAAACTTCTTCCTCTCTCTGCCATCCCCCACAACAAACGCCTCTGCCAGTCCTTTTCCCTTCTCCTTCCCCTTACCTCCCCTCCCCCCTCTCCTCCTCTCCCATCACCCCTCCAATCACAGAACGACACGTGTGCAGCGGTGGCAGACGGCTTCGACCTCACAGTTGCAGACCTGGAAGCTCTCAACCCGGGCGTGAACTGTACCGGGAAGATAAAGAAGCTTCCCGCAGTGAACCAGCAGGTGAATTGTCTCTCTGAGTGTGCGGCTGGTTGGTACGCCTGACGTGCCTTCAAGCTCTCCTTCTTTCCTCTCAACCCCGCCCAGTGTGTGTGCCGGGGAACAAGTGTGTCGTCCCCTGCTCTGAGCTGCACCTCAGTGTGTGTGTCTCCCACTCCGCTCCTTGCATGAGCGTGGCACCACAGCCTAACCTCCACCTTTGTTATCCCTCCCACCCCTCTCCATGGGGCAACGGGGCCGACTTCCCCATGTGCACGCAGTTCTGTCTACACAGCGCTTCCAATGCCGTCCCCTGGTTTAACTGCTCCCGTGGGTTCCTCCCACCCCACTCCCTCACCTCACCAGGTGTGCGTGCAGGAGGGCAACGGGGCCGACTTCCCCATGTGCATGCAGTTCTACACCATCCTCCCCAGCGACAACTGCGACACCATCATGACTCACAGCAGGGGTTGGTGCCAACCCTAAACATGCGCCTCTCCCTCCTCTCTCCAACATCCCTCCCTGTCCCCTCCGTGTCCCCCCCTTGTACCAACGCTTCCATGCTACCAGGTGTGCGTGCAGGAGGGAAACGGGGCAGACTTCCCCATGTGCACGCAGTTCTACACCGTCCTCCCCAGCGACAACTGCAACACCATCATGAAGCGCTTCAAGCTCTCCCACCTCTCCTTCTACGCGCTCAACCCCGGCCTCAGCTGCGCAGCGCTCTTCCCCTACCTCAGCGGTCCCGACGAGGACGAGGACGAGGGCGACCAGGATGGGGGGTCTACGCTCAGCGGCACTCAGGTGAGGATGAGGATAATCGACAGGACTTTTCCGACCAGGTAGTCTGTTTCTAAGGCAACGCAAGACAGGGCAGGGCCAGTACCTGCCTGCTCCTTGGGTGTTCAAGCTCTCTGCACTCTCCTTGCACGCACCCAACGTGCCCTTCCTTCTTCCTCTTCTCCCCTTCTCACGTTGCCTTTTCTGCCATCTTGTACAGAACTCCTCCTCACCGCCACCACCTCCTGTTCCTCATAGTGACTTTTGAGTCGACTCAAAAGTCTTCTTCCCTTCTCACGTTGCCTTTTCCACCATCTTGTACAGAACTCCTCCACACCACCACCCGCTCCTCCCGCTGCTTCCCTCTCTGCAGGTGTGCATCTCAGACTTTACAGTCAACGCCACCGGGCCCGCTCCTGCCCGCTCCCTACGCACCCTCCACCCGCAAGGCACTCTGCAACGCACACCCAAGAAGCTTACCGGGTTCCGAAGGCTTGAGAGGCCCGAGAGGCCTGAGAAGCTCGAGAGGCTGGAGAACGCATGGGTGGCAGGAGAAACCCGGTTGTGGGAGGGACATCACCACCAGCAGCAGCAGTTGCAGCAGCTGCAGCAGCAGCAGCGGCAGCGGCAGCAGCAGTCGTGGCAGCAGTGGATGCACGAGCTCTTTACTGAGATGGCGGCGTTGGGGCCTCACAGGAGCAGGCAGAAAGGGCTGTACAAGCCTGGCTTTAAAGGGGCTTCAGTGGCACTCCAAAAGAGGCTGCTAGCAACCTCTAAAGGCAGGCGCGCCCGGCCCAGATGCCTTGCGTATTACTCTGTGCAGCGCGGGGATTTTTGTGCGCGCATCATATCGCTCAAGTTCCAGAACAGTGCAAGAAAGATGGCGGAGTTGAACAATGGATATGTGTGCACCAATGATAGGTTGTATGTGGGAATGTCGCTTTGCACGCGGAAATGAGGCAGGGTCGAGTTTGGCGGACACATCGGTTTTGTTTTGCAGTGAATAATTGTGCAGTGAAGCTTCTCTGTATCTAGTTTCTGTGTCAGGTTGATAGCAATTAGGGCGGGTTCAGCGCGTACGTTTACAGTTCATCCCGTGCGGTTGATCTTGTTGCGTCACTGTTAAAAACGGTGGAAACCGCAAATCGCTTTGAACCATGTGATATCGTTTTGTGCCATGGGTCATGAACTGTAAACGAACCGTAACCGTATGCCCTTAGTAGTACAGTACTCTATAAAACGTAAGGCAGATTGTTCACAAAATTCACTTGAAAGTGAGGACAGATTGTCTACAGTTCTGAAAGTGAGGACATGCTTGGTGGTATGATTTCAGACAGGGCTGTCGCTTGCTCTGGACCCAGAACTTAGCGGGCTAAGGTCCCCTAGATTCAGCCCTTATTTATCCGGATTGAGTCATATTTCAACACTTAGATTCAGGGCTACACAACCTTCTGCACTTGAGCGTAAACACACCATGGAAGTTGATGATGCTCAAATACGTCTAAGGGCTGCGGTACATAGCAGATCTATTAGCCGATCTACTACTATTCAGCGAAGAGGGGAGAAGGTAGTTCTACGTAAGCAGGGGAGACATATTACTATGGGAAACGAGGGGGTGGGGTGGTAGGTAGGGGCTCTGAGGCTATACGTGAAATCCTGGTTAGGCGCTAAGCCAGCCCGTAAGGAAACGGGCAGGCCTCAAAGTCAGCCATTGAATTCTCCGAGCTGGGCCCGAACCAGCCCTTGAATTCAAGGGTAAAAAGAGCAAATGTCCTTGTAGCGAAAGGCCTGATTTCAGACATCATCAGCAGCACCGACATTCGGTGGCAGCAGTGACGCGCCTCGGCTGTCAATTCTTGTAGGTCTGAATGGGGGAGCTTCTCCACAACAGGAAAGGAGCGTGCGAAGGAGCGGGTGAGGGAGGGAGGCAGGGCTCTCGATTCATTTTGGGGCACGCTGCTTGATCCGAGTTGTGACCCACCAAGTCCTCGCCAACTTCACTATGGCCAATTTCACCCCCCTGTGTATTCGTTTTAAATTTACCCGAGTTTGAGGGTTGTTTCAAACACTTTGGCTTTAACGAAAGCAACGACTGGGACTGCGCACATGAGTTAGTGGAAAAACAAAAGAAACATGGTCGCAGTGGAAGATTCAGTCCTTGCGTTGCGGTCTCAACGTCAGAAGGGGCAAACATCGAAACGTCACAATGCCTCGGATAGCCTCTAGTTCGGGGGTGTCTTACCCCCTATAGCCAGATAAGGTCAGTTTGGCTTTAAGTAAGAACTGACGGGGCGTGAAATTGGCGAGGACTGTGTGTACACCCTGCCTCTGCAGCGTGCCTTGGCAGTCGTACCCAAGAAATAGCAGTGTGTTTTTTTTTCGAGGTCGTATCTAGCAGGGTGAAAAATCCGCAAACACTGCCTAGCAAAAACTTCTGGGTCCAGCAGTTGATCCTGCCATTATGGATCCCGGGTCCTGTCTCGATTGTAGGTGTTTACAGTAACTCGACAGACAGAGAGGATAGTCGTCTCTATGCGTAAGTGCGTGGCGGTTGAGCTTTTAGTGGTGTATTTGGGGACATGAGAGGCCTGTCAGTGGGTCTTCTAGGCGCGGTCACTAGCGATGCGCGCCACTCTCTGGAGCTGAATCCCTGGTGTTTCAAGGACTTCGCCGATTCTGGAATTTCAGTCACAAACACTACTGGACACATTTCAGTCACAAACGCCACTCACTGCGCTAGAGTTGAATCTCTGGTGTTTCAAGTACTTTGCGGATTCTGAAAAATGTCACTCACAAACGCTACTGAACACATTTCGGCTTAGGTGGTGGAGTTCCGCACAAGGGGAAAAAGTTGGCAGGGTGTCTGTCGTAACGAGCCGGGAAACGGCAGTGCGGCATATAAGAGTAAACAGCATTTGCAGGGCTTGTTTTTAGCCCCGCCTGACGATGACAGGGTGGACGCCCAGATAAACCCAATTCTAGCAGTGTGAGTCCGAAATCTCACCCTGAAATGCAGGGCAAACAGGGTAAAACGCCCTGCAATCCTGAGGCCTGGAGGGAGGGGGGTGGGCGCTCTCCTCTCCTCACCCCATCTGCCTCTTCCGGACCCTTTCATCATCCCAACCTTTCTTGCCCTCCCGTCGATCACCAACCCCGACTATGTCGCAACCTAGGTTATCACCTAGGTTTTTAACTAGCGCGATCAACAGCGGCCCCAGCTTACCTTCCTGCTACACCGGACGACTGTCAAACCGCTGCCGATTAGGCTGGTTCCTCTCACTCGACATCGTCTCGGCGCCAGGTAAGTCGGTTTTCCTCCTCGGCCTGCTTTCGCTCCTGCTCACCTTGCTCACCTCGATCTCCTGTGCTAACTACGCGCCGACATGCAGGGAAAAGGTCGCGACCCCACCGTCTCAAAACACGCCCCATCTTAGCATCCCTCGCGTTTCCCCCTCCAGTTTCGATTTACGCTTCTCTTTTTTTAGCTCTCACGGCTACTCCCGCTCGACGGCCCGGCAGACACCGTTCGCCTCTCCTCGTCTCGACCTCCCGCGCTCGCGATGGCCGCGAGGAACCTCGCTAACGCCGCGCTGCCGCCTAGGGACAGCTCAGCACTGCTGGCCGCACCCTACGGCTCCCGCGCCGCTGCCAACGGATAACCCCCCGCCTCCGCCAGCAACTTGGCACTGCGCAACCGCGCCGTTTTTCGTCGCTCTCCCCCCGCTCGTTCTCGCGTACACATGGCAACGCCTGTTCTTTTACCGCTGGCTCTGTTTATTGGCGCTCCCCCCCCGTTTACGCACACCCCGCTTCCTCCTCCGACACGCATGCTATCTTCCACGCAGTGATTCCGGCCCGCGCGCTGCCTCTGAACTGCGCGACCCGGGTCTGCGCGCACCGTGCTTCCGCGCGGTTAACATCTCACCGTCACCCTTTCTGTACTTTTGGCAGCGGTGGCAACCTCAAGCCTGTTTGCGCTACCTCACCCTCGCATACTTACAGGTAAGTGATGCCGCACACCCTCCTGCCTCTCTCAGTCGTTCCCCGCTCTGCCGTTTCTTAAAGCCACATGGCTTCATAACTCCCCGCTGTTTCCGCCATGTCTCTCTCTATTTCGCGTCGATGCTCCCCACCTGGCCTTTATTCCTCTCCGTATGTGCCTTACCTTCGGACTCGGGCTGCCGACTAGGCGCCCAGTTTACCCCTGACTCGGAACGCCGATTAGGCGCCCAGTCTACCCCTGACTCGGAACGCCGATTAGGCGCCCAGTCTACCGTGAATCGCTGTGGCCACCGCCTTTGCGTTCACATCCTCGCACTTGATGTTGTTTGCGTTGCGCTTCGTGACTCGGGAAGTACCTCGGGTTCCCAGTCAGCTCCCTTGGACCGCCCTGGTCACTGCTCTTGCAAATGCCTGCTTGACCTCCCCCCCCATCCCCTGTGCCTCGCGGCCCTTGGTTTCAACCCGCCTCTCGCTCCTGCACGCTTGGACTATCGCCCCGTTCGCTTGTCCAGCCTTTCTGCCCTGTTTACGATGTCGCTTAATGCCTCGGCTAGTGATATACCGCTCACCCTCTCCCTCAGATGCCCCCCCTCTTCCCCTCCCATGCTCGTGCCCCTTCCCCATACGATGCCGCCCGTACCCCTTCCCCTGGGACAGCCTCCCTCCTTAGTGGTGGCTCACTGTGGCTGCCCCACTTCCTACCTTCCCAACTCCACCCCGCCCTTGCACCGCCCATCCGCCCCCCTGAATAATCCTTCCCCCCTCATGCCTCTCTGGTTCCACCCTGGGCCCTCAGGCAGCCCTGGTATCCTGCTGCTCCACCTTCCGCCCTCTCTGATTCTTGAGGTGCCTTCACACGGCCCCTCAGAAGCCCCTGTTACCTTGCTGCTCTACCTCCCACCCCTTTTATACCCTCCCCTGCGGTGCTCCCTGGCCCCCCTCCCACTCTGTCTGCCTGGCAGAAGCCTTTGCTATACATTTTTCCAAGCAATACCGGTATCTCTGCCGTCGGAGAACTATCCCCCTCTGCCTGCACCCCCAGCAGCTTTTGCTGCCCCTTGGTTGCTTGCCCCACGATACTGTGCATCAGATCGATACAAGCTTGCATGTCTCAAATGCTTCACTTGTCATTATGCACAAAATCCTGCCCCGATCTATTCGTTCAGCTTCAATATTCGTCCAAATTCTAGCTGGAAAAAGTGCTACTGGTACCATACTGGTCGTCAATACAACTTACCAAAAGAGCATACGAATGGTATCGCGCCACTGCATACTGTCGTCCCAAGAAGGAAACAGGATCTTATTCCTCTCTCTTACCTGTTCAACACACAAGGTCCCATAGTTCACCAATCAATCATAATTCTGCACTTTGCAACCTCAATGCACCTCCTGCCAGCCTTGCGGTTGTGGTGTAGCTCTGATCATGCTCGGATAAAACCAGCACGCATATATACTCCACGCACCCCAAACTCCAAACAGGCACTGTCTCGGCAGCTCTTTGAATTCAAGGACCCAACGGCACGTCTTACCACGCAGACACACTACCTATTGTCACCTCGACACCACGAACCTCACCAAGTCCGGCACGTCTCCGGCCTCACATCCACCCCATGCACTCACCGGCGAAAACTTGTGTTTAGGCCGTGGATACGCACAATCTCCCGTGCGGTGGCCTTCACGTCGTTGCCATGTTAACACACCTCCGAATCTTATGTATCAACGTGAACGGAATCAATGAGACTCGCAAAATGGATGAGCTTAAATCCTGGCTCTCGCGCCTCCCTGCCCCCACCGACTTGGTCATTCTCATTGACACTCGACTCATCCTCAGAATCCCCAACCTTGACTTGAAATTCCGTCCTCACGCCTCTGCCCACGCCCCGGCGCTGCTCTCGACTGACAGCGCTACCGGGAGGCCCACTCTCATCGGAGGCATTTCCATCCTCTCTTTCAACAAGGCCATCTCACTGTCATCCCCGCTCCCCTCTGCAGACGGCAGGCTTATCACGGTACATCTCAACTACCTCCGTGAGCAAATCCGCCTCATTGCCATATACGCGCCCACACAATTCTACGAGCGTCGAATATGGTGGACCACCATGCTCGTTCCGGCACTGGAAACCCCCACCGCTGCATCCGCGACCATGCTCGCCGGAGACTTCAACTCTGTTATCCTTCCCATTGACAGAAACCGTCCCCTCAAAGATTACGAATGCCGAGAAGGAGCCTCATTTGCCAAGCTCATGGACAACCACGCGCTGGTCGACACTTTCCGTGAACTCTCCCCCTTACCCACCGACGTCTTCTCCTTTTATGGCAGGCAACGCTTAAACTCAGCGACCCCGCCCACATCCTCCCGCCTTGACAGAATTTACATTTCCCGAGCCTTCCTTCCCCGTCTCGCCGCTAGTCCGTACATGCAAACCCGCACGACAATCACAGATCACCTGTATGCCCCTCTCTGCTCGCTGGGTTTCACCAACCCCACGGTCGCCCCCCGGCCCTGGCGACTCCGCCAACATCTCCTCATGCGCCCCCGCGCTGCACAAATCATCGATGCCTCCCTTGCAGCCTTCCCCTCCTCCCCTTCCCCCGACTCGTGGGACAGGTGGAAGCTCGACCTCACCCTTAACTTCAAAAGATTCTCCAACCTGGAGAGACACCGCGTCGACAGCACGATCGCGTATCTGGAGCGCACCATTGGCTCACTACAGTCGCAAGCAGCGTATACGCCTCTGGACCAGAACGAATCCTCCCGCCTAAGCCAAGCACGGCTCCACCTGGCCAGATACGAAGCCTCGAAAGCCTCCGAAATTGCGCTCAAGGCCAAGCTGAAAGTTGAAGGGCACAGAGAAATGGGAGTCTCCTCCCTCCTCTCCGGACTCAACTCGCGCATCAAAGGCTCGATCATCAACTCCCTCACCCTACCCAATGGGCAGACAACCTCGGACCTACCCACCATGACCAACGTGTGTTCTAGCTTCTTCCGAACCCTCTACAGTGGATGCAACCCCGCCACCCCTAACCCATCTTTCTGGCAACATATCCCTCCCTCATCCATCCCGAACCCCTTACTCTGCCGTCTCGGCGCCCCCCTCTCCCTAGCCGAAATCGGGAAAGCACTCCTCTCTCTCACACGGGGAAAAACCCCTGGCCCAGACGGCCTCCCTGGGGAGCTTTTCCGACAATTCTCCCCTCGATTCGCACCGGCCTTCCACTCCCTGCTCTCACCACCACAGCCACTTTCCAGCCTCCCTCCGTCCATGCTGACCGGACGAACTGTCCTTATCCCAAAAAGAGGGGACTCTTCGCTAGTGGAAAACCTCCGCCCCATCACCCTGATGAACGCTGATTACAAGGTACTTGCGCTATGCCTCGCTAACCGCCTTCAACTCGTCCTTCCCCAGCTCATCCACCCATCCCAAACTGCCTTCATCAAGCACAGGAAAATCGGAGACACCATTAACGATACCCTGGACATCATGGACTGGGCAGCCTTCTCCTCGTCCCCCCTTCTCGCTCTTACGGTGGACTTTCGCAAGGCCTACGACCTCGTCGACAGGTCTTTCCTCCTCCAAGCCTTATCAGTCCTGGGGCTCCCCGCACCTTTCATTCACTGGGTCCGGTTAATGCACTCCGACACGTACACATGCATCTCGGTTAACAACATGCTCGGTCCCACCTTCCCCGTCCGCACCGGTGTTCGACAGGGTTGCCCATTGGCTCCCTTGCTCTTCGTTTGCGTCATGGAGATATTTCATCGCTACATGTCCCTCTTCCTTCCCGGTTTCGCCTTGTCCTCCGCACAGCGCCGCCTCATGGCGTGCTACGCAGATGACGTCACTCTCTTTCTCACCTCAGATACAGAGCTCGGTCACGTTGTAGTGCTGCTTGGCGTCTTTGGATCGGTCTCCGGTGAAGTTCCTAACTGGAACAAGTGCTCCATAATTCCATTCAATATCCCCCCTGCTGACCTCGTGCACGCTGGGATTATACCCATCCGAGCTCCCGACGAGGCAGAACGCATCCTCGGAATCTACGTCGAACGTTTACACCCAGGCTCCACCACCTGGAACAATGCTCTTGCCCGCATACAATGCACCGCAAAGTTCCTGGCGGCCTTACACGCCACCGTCACATGCCGCAAATCCCTCTCCTCGATTTTTCTGAACTCTGTCATTTCCTTCCCCGGACGCTTTCAACCCGCCCCACCAGACACAATCAAACGCCTCGATGTGTCAGTCGGAAACTTCCTTTCGTCTTCGAAACACAAACAAGACGGCATCGCACAACGCCTCATTTCCAAAGCCCTCCTGTACAACCCCCCGCAAGACGGCGGGGTCGGGGCGATCGCCCCGTCAACACAAGTCAAAACTCTTGCTATTCAGCGCGCCCTGCGTAGATTCAGACCAACCCCCTCTGAGGAAGTTGCACGGACCCTGGCCCCGTTCCCCTTCGGGTTACACGGTCTACTCTCGCATAAAGCCATCCTTGAACGAGACTATCTCCCCACATTCATTCCCCCTCGGGCGTTGGACGAACTAAAAGCCCTCCTCTCCCTTCCTTTGGGCATCCATGGCCCCCCCTTACGCATGCAGTGCATCCTCACCGAACCTATCGCCTTCAACCGCTCGCTCCTCAAATCCGACAACCGGCCTTTCGGAACCCGCCAACACGAGCGCTTCCTCCTTATAGGGCAGTTCCGCATCGGTCACATTGTCCGAGTCAACAGCACCCAAGTCGATACCATCTCTGCAGAAGAATTTTGCTCCCTAGTCCCGGAGGAATTCCACGACGACGCAACTCGCATCCTCCCAGACCTCATCAAGGCTATCAAACCTCCATGGTGGGCTGCCCTCCGAACCCCACACGCCTCTTCCGCCTCGCCAGGAGACTGGTTTATGCCTACGGACGACCATTATTCCATCTCTCATCTCGCCCTCCAAGTTGTCGCCTTCATTCCCCCCTCCTCCGTCTCGGCTACTGTCCACCACGTCTCGCCAAACAAGCGCATCGCCCGCACCCCAGCAGACACCGGACTCTTCCGCTTACAAGACCTCGTAGAGGTGTACGTCAGGGATTGGTGGCTCGCAGGGCCACTTCACATAGGGGCAGGGCTAGGAGCTAGGTTAGAACTCCTACAGGACGGCACCCCCAGCATCGCCGACATCCGTCGTCTCCTCTACTCTGCACAACCGCTAACTCATCACCTCCGATGGACCCGCGACCTCACCCTTCCTCCTCCTCCTCTCCCTGGCCTTAAGGACTCATTTCTCAGGGACCAGCCTAGCCGCCAGAGGGACATCCTTTTCAGACTCTACACACTCACCCTCCCCTCAGGGTCACGCTTCCAGTACTTTGACGATCGGGGGATCTGTCCCCGATGCCCAGCAGCCGTCGTCGAAACACTGCCGCACATCTTCTTCGAATGCTCCTCCGCTAGAACTGTCATCTCGGCCCTCCGCACAGTCGCTGACCGCCACCTCGGACAAAACACCACTGCAGAGCACATATTCTCCCCGATACAGTCACGGGTGGGACAATCCCCCCCATGGAGCCTGCTAGTGGGAGCCGCAGTCCAAACGTTGTGGAAGGCTCGCTGCGCCCACAAATACCACAACTCCTCCTCCTCGAGCTTCGAAATACTGCAGCTGATCTTAGCCCAATTCCTTATCGCCTTCAAGATCTATATTTGGAGAAGCCGACGCCAATCTACCAAGAAGCGACAACGCACTTCCTCCAGCATAAAACGAGCACAAAAACTCAGTTTCCTCCACTTTGACAGGAGCGGCACACCCTCCATTCACCCTGACCTCAGACTCTCTTGGCTTTTGGGAAACCCGTTCCGACCACCATAGACAGCTACCGTATAGAGCGTCTCCCCAGGCAGCTGGTGGTTGTCCTTCAGGACAAGGAAATAACGTGTGTTCCGCGTGCTCCTTATAGGATGCTGGCCATCTCGGCCATGTTTCTAGATAGCTCTATGGTATTATTCTTTGTACATTGATTACGATCAATATATAACCTTAACCTCACCCCATCTGCCTGTGTTTGTGCGTTCTTGTACGTTTGTTCGGTTCCGCTAGCTTCCGTTTGGTTAATTTCGGTTCCACTGGGTGTCTCGTTCCATTGCATAACGCCTGTACTCTGCTCCATTCCATGATGGTCGCAACCCGCCTTTGGGGACGGTCGTTCGTAATGTTGTACTTACCGTGTATGTCTGGTACTGTTGTCGGGTTACCGCAAACGACATAGATGCGCCGTCGGATCTCTCAGGGGAGCAAAATCGGACAGTTCAGCCCTCTCGACTTCTTTCAGTATCCCAACACAGATTCCGAGCTGGTTCCAGCTTCCTCCCCGCTGGTGCCACGTGGTTCATTAGCCAATCACATTTCTGACACCAGACAACCTTTCCAGCCTTGAAACACAGTGTACACTGTACGGTCGTATCTTGGGTTTGGGTTCGCCTTTCCAATTGAGCTTTGAGAAGATTGGACTGAGGCCGCCAAGCGCAAGCATGTTCCGCGTGTCATCCTCACCAAGGAGTCCGACCTTCCGAACCGAGCCGAACCGAAACAAGTTGAAGCGACGGGCCATCTTTTGACGGCAGCCGATTATTGCTCTCTAGTTCGTGCTTCGCAGTTGTCGTCTCGCGATTCGCCGTCGTCGCCCTCGCCGCCGCCGTCGCGATAACTTACACGATTTGTACAGTAGTTAGTGCCGTGCAGTGCAGATAAAAGTTCGCACGTTTGCAGCAGTTAGTTCTTCCGCCTCGACCACACACTGTTAGTAGTTAATCTCCTCAACTTGGGCCGACTTAATTTTCTTCTCTCTATCATTTTATTCTGTTGTTACTGCTAGTGGGATTCGCAGTCGCCTCTCGTCGATGCCGTCGGTTCCAGGCAATAAAGATAAATATGGTGACACTCGCCAGCCACCGTCATCGCGGTCGTCGCACTGCGACGTTGCATTGTCGTGTCATCGTCATGCGATCGTGTTGTCGCTTCTCGTCATCGCAAGCAACATCAGAGCGGCGTCAGGTTAGAGTCCCATTTCGTTAATAGTCTCCGTAATCATACTGTTGGCTTTAGTCCATCATCTGTTGCTGCTGAAGATTCTTAGTAGAAGGGGTTTCCGTACTTAGTAAGGGTCCCTTTCCCCCGTCTACTACTACTATAGTCATCCTCCATACGGACAGGCCCGTTATTCGTCCTGCTTCCACTACTACGGACCAGGGAGTACGATAATATCCGCGCTCGTTCACGCATCAGTGCACCCCATCCCGCCATTCAACGCACCCCGACAGTCGTCTTTTAAGGAGCCCTAAGATTTGCTCTTTGGGGCTCCCCACGAAAAACACTTTGCATTCATCGTTGCGCCCGTTCCGCGCTCCACTCTTCCCCGCTCCACTCTTCCCCGCTCCACTCTTCCCCGCTACACTCTTCCCCGCTCCACTTTTCCCCGCCCAGTGCGTGGCACGAGCCCTTCCCCCCCGTTTCCTTCTCCACTCCCTCCCCCCCCCCCCAGTTTCCGCCGCCTCGTTTCCCCGACTCCCCCCTTTCCCCCTTCCCCCCCATTTTCCCCTCTCCCCTATCCATACTTCTCCAACCCTGCTTTTCCCTTCTCCTGACCACGCCCCTCCTTCCTGCCCGCGCGTTTCACCGCCCCTCTTCCCCTCATTTCTTTCCCCTTCCCCCCGTCCCCCACCCCCCCCTCCTCCCCCCATTTCCCCCGTGCTTGACTCTCCCCCTTCCACTCTCCCCCTTCCGCCCTCCTCCCTCCTCTTCCCCCCCTTCCGCTTTCCTCCTTCCGCCATGGTTTCTCGTCCTGCCGCCGTTCCACATCCCCGCCCTTGTGGCCTAGTTCTGAGACGTCTTTTGAGGCGAATTTTGAGACGTCTTTTGAGACCACTATTGAGACGACTTTTGAGACGTCTTTTGAGACGACTTTTGAGACGTCTTTTGTGACGACGACGACTTTTGAGACGACTTTTGAGACGACTCAAAACTAAACTATTAATCATCCGCATGCACGCACCCACCCCATGCATCCTACCCAGCATGCATCCCATCCCATCCCATCCCATCCCATCCCATCCCATCCCATCCCATCCCATCCCATCCCATCCCATCCCATCCCATCCCATCCCATCCCATCCCATCCCATCCCATCCCATCCCATCCCATCCCATCCCATCCCATCCCATCCCGCATATGCATCCCATCCCATCCAGCATGCATTCAATGTCATAACGTACGCTCTATTTTCTGTAGCTGCTCTGCTTCCTAAAGTCCATATTTCGTTCTAATGTGCAGCTTAATTCGTAACGTGCCACGTCAGCTGCGACCACCTGCTTCCCCGCCGCCCACTTCAATTTCCTACCTTTCATCCTCAATTCTCACGGGGCGTGACAGCAACTGCTCTCTCTCTGCCCTTCTCCACCCCCCGCCCCCCTCTCCTCCCCACCCGCCCCCCTTCCCTCCCCTGCCCTGCCCTTCTTCCATATCCTGCCCCTCTCCTTCCCCCTCCCCTTCCCCCAGCATCCGCCTGTAGCGCAGTGCCCAACTTTGCGCTGCTACAGCCGAGGCATCTCAAAAGCGTGTCAAGAAATGCGGGCATGGGGTATGACGGCGGGTGCTCTCCCCTTCCTCCCCCCATGCCCTCCTGCCCCCCCCTCCCCCAGCCTACGCCTGTAGCGCGGTGCCCAGCTTTGCGCTGCTACAGCCGAGGCACCTGAACCGCGTATCGAGATATCCGAGCATGGGGTATGACGGCGGGTGTGACTGCTGGAGTGTTGACCTGAACGTGGACTGGCGCGACCTGGAGGGCGTGCAAGGCGTGCGCAACGAGGGCGCGTGCAGTGAGTAACATGGTGGTGTCGTGCAGTGTGCGGTTCTGTGCGGTTTGGTGTGCTAGCGTATGATGGCTGGTCGGAGCATGGGGTATAGCAGCAGGTGTGACTGCTGGAGTGTTGACCTGAACGTGGACTGGCGCGAGCTGCAGGGCGTGCAAGGCGTGCGCAACGAGGGGGTGTGCAGCGAGTAATGTGGTGGTGTGGTGTGGTGCTATCTAATGCAGTGTGGATTGATATGGTGTGGTGCAGTGTGGTGCGGTGTGTTAGCACATGATTGCTGGTCGGAGCATGGGGTATAGCAGCAGCTGTGACTGCTGGGGTGTTGACTTTTAATGTGGACAGGCGCGAGCTGTAGGGCGTGCAAGGAGTGCAGTGAGTGTGGTGGGGTGTGGTATGGTATGGTGCGGTGCGGTGTGGTGTGGTGTGATGCAGTGTGGTGTGGTGCGGTGTGCTGCTTCCTCGTCCTTACTCTTGTTCGTTTTTGCTTGTGCCGCCCGCTTTTCTCCCCGCTCTCCCTGCCGGTCCCTTTCCCCCATGGCAGAGGCATCATGGCCGATCGCAGCAGAGAACGCGGTGGGAGTGAGAGTGACTGCGGCTATGATTGCGATTCTTGAGACGTCTCAAAAGTAGTTGCGCATGGAGCATGGAGTCGCACTGAGAGTAGTTGCGCGCTCCATGTGCTGTGGGCTGCACCTGCACCAGCCGATTTTTCAGTCGACTCAAAAATCACACCTGCACCTGCACAAGCCCCCGGTAGCAGTTGAGCGACTGCCCCTGTCTCAAAAGTCCTCCTCCACCTCCCCCCTGCCCACCCCCTCGTGTGGCAGAGGCGTCATGGGGGATGGCAGCAGTGAGCGCGGTGGAGGGGACACAATGGCTATGAGTGGGACTTTTGACTCCGTCCTCCCCCCCCCACCCCCCTCCCCCCCTGCCCATCCCTCCCCGACAGCAGAGGCATCATGGGGGATGGCAGCAGTGAGCGCGGTGGAGGTTACATGACACCATGGCTATGATTGCGAATTTTGACACGCCTCAGAAGTCCCCCCTCCAACAACCCGCCCACCACCCTCCCCCTTTCCCCTCCTCCACCTCCCCCCCCGTCCCTCCCGCCTGTTCAGAGCAGAGGCGTCATGGGTGATCACAGCAGTGAACGCGGGGGAAGTGGCGATGGCTATGATTGCAACACCATTGAAGCGTCCTTTCCCCCAAACCCCTCCCCAACCCCCCCCCCCCCTCTCTCTTCTCCTCCTCGCCCCCTGCCCAGAGGCGTCATGGGCGATCGCAGCAGTGAACGCGGTGGAAGTGACCATGGCTATGGTTGCAGACCAGCTAGAGTCGTACGACAGTGCCTTCAACATCTCCGTGCAGCAGGTGCGTGCGCTCAGCAGCACATGACAAGATTGAGTGAGACGCCCAACGCAACACAGCAGGTTCGGTGTGGTGTGGTGTGCGGTGCGGTGCGGTGAGCACGTCATCCTTGGTGGTGCGGACTCGAAGGTAAAGGCAAGCCTTGGTGTAGGCAAAGGGTTTGAGTCGACTCTAAAAACGGCTATGCTGTGCGTGCATGGGCTACATAGTGTGTGCATGGGCTACATCATGCGTGCATGGGCTACATCGTGCGTGCATGGGCTACATCGTGCGTGCATGGGCTACACACGCTAATGCGCGCACCCTCGTGCAAGCACGCATCCTTCACACTCCACCCACCCTCTCATGCTCCTCTCCCCGTCCCCCCTGCCCAGCAGCAGCAGCTGCAAGGGCAGGTGGTCCACATCAGCGCCAGTGCTGACCCTCCACCGTCTTGCACCCCTCCTTCCTCTCCTTCACCGCTTCAGGTGGTGGACTGCGAGCCCAGCAGCAGCAGCTGCAAGGGCGGGTGGCCCACATCAGCGCTGGACTACATGGTGGATGCCAGTAACGACCTGGGGGGGCTTGTGCCGCAGCTGCAGTACCCGTACAAGGGCAAGCAGGCCAAGTGCAACGCAGGCAAGGTGCGAGGGGAAGGTGCGAGGGGGGATGTGTTGTTCGGATCGGGCTTGGGTAGAAAGAAGAATAGAGAAGTGAAAGGACATCTAATATTTTCTTCTCCCTCTTCCCTCACTCCCTCCCCTTTCATCCTCCCCCCTCTGCTCTCCCTCTGCTCCCCCTCAAATCGCCACGTCATCCACGCCACTGGGTCTGGCGCGGTACGAGCAGGTGGACTTGTATGGGTGGATTGGGCTGCTGCTGGCCGTGCAGGTGCAGCCAGCCATTGTCTCCTCCCTCTACCGCCCTCACTGCCTTCCTCACCCCCTTCCTCTCCCCATCCCCTCACCCCGCTCAGATCGCCACATCGTCCACGCCACTGGGTCTGGCGCGGTACGAGCAGGTGGACTTCTATGGGTGGATCGGGCTGCTGCTGGCCGTGCAGGTGCAGCCGGTCATTGCCTTTGTGCGCGGTAGCTTCCCCTCCTTCCAGAAATACAAATGGGTAAAGCCGCCCTCCTCACCACTCCCCCCCTCCCCCAAACCCTGTCTCACCCACAAGCCGGTCATTGCCTTTGTGCGCGGCAGCTTCCCCTCCTTCCAGAAATACAAATGGGTATGCTGTTCTTTTACTTCTTGGTGTAGCTGCTGATATGGCTTGTTTAGCACTTATTTGTAATAAGAAAAGGCGTTTTCTAGGACCCCGAGTGTGCAGCAGCCGCAGGCATCGTGGACCAAGAAGAGGTGACTTTTGAGTCGACTCAAAAGTCGCAGTGCTGCTGGTGGGCTATGGGGAAGAGGTGACTTTTAAGTTGACTCAAATGTCGCAGTGCTGCTGGTGGGCTATGGGGAAGAGGTGACTTTTAAGTCGACTCAAATGTCGCAGTGCTGCTGGTGGGCTATGGGGAAGAGGTGACTTTTAAGTCGACTCAAATGTCGCAGTGCTGCTGGTGGGCTATGGGGAATGCGTTTATTCTCCCTCTCGTTCCATCTTCCTTTTGAGGATTCTCAGTTGAGTCGTTTTTGAACTCGTGCTGGGCAATGGGTAGTGTGGTCACTCTCCCTCCTTCTGCATCTCCTTTACTTCCCCTTTTCCCATCGACCCACCCCCCCTCCACTTCCCATCAGGGGGTGCTACTCCTCTCCCTCCTCTCCTTCCTCACCGTCCCTATCTCCCTTCCGATCCTCTCACCCCTTTTGTTCCCCTCAGGGTGTCTACGGCGATCCCAGGTGTGCGGCAGCAGGCATTGTGGACCATGCAGTGCTGGTGGTGGGGTATGCGTTCACCCCCCTCCCCTTGCATCTCCCTTGCACCGCCTTTACCGCACGCCCCACCCACCCCCCTCCCCTCTCCCCCTCAGGGCGTCTATGGCGATCCCAGGTGTGCGGCAGCAGGCATTGTGGACCATGCAGTGCTGGTGGTGGGGTATGCGTTCACGGGGCCAAATGGGCAGGGCAACTGGATCGTGCGCAACTCGTGGGGTACCAAGTGGGGCGAGCAGGTGCGGTGGGGTGGATGGGGTTACCTGCAGGTGCTGGTGGTGGGGTAGGGTACACGTGGGCGTTCCCTTACAGTCCCTGATGGGCAGGGCAACTGGACCGTGCGCAACTCGTGGGGCACCAAGTGGTGGGGCGAGCAGGTGCGGTGCGGTGCGGCGATGGCATGTGGCATGGATGGGCATGGCATGGTATGGATGGCATGCGCATGGGTGTGTATGATGGCATGGGTGTAATCAAATCAGGGTATAAAAAAAGATGGTATCTTTGAGATTTTACAGTTAAAAACCATATCGTATACAACGGCTGTATAAAACGGTAAAACACGGTCCAGGATGTGTTCTCTGTTTGGTCTAAAAAAACCGGTCGTTTTTTTTCTTTCTTTTAACTAGGAGGGGGTATCAATCAACCCATGGGACAACAGGGAAATTGAGCAGGCAAAGGAGTTATTTGTCAAGTTATCTACATAATTGTTTGCATTTTCTTGCATGTTTCCGTTTGTAGACATGATTGAAAAACGTATCCGACCTTTTTTTTGTGATCGCGCTCTAACGAAAAACAGTCGCTTTTTTCTCGCAAAAAAATCCGTAAAAAACCGGACTGCATCTCACGAAAACCATCTATTTAAACCTTGGGTGTGATGTGATGGCATGGATGTGATGTGATGATGTTGTGAACATGGCCTATTGGGTGACAAATGGGGTGAGGAGGTGGGGCAAAGGAATGCGGGAGAAAATGTTGTACACGGGGAGGGAGGGGGGGGCAATGGGGATGAGTTTGGGAGAGGACAGAGGGTGCGGATATAGAGAGCGAGGTCATTGCCGAGAAGGTGCGGATATAGAGAGCGAGGTCATTGCCGAGAAGGTGCGGATATAGAGAGCGAGGTCATTGCCAAGAAGGTGCGGATATAGAGAGCGAGGTCATTGCCGAGAAGGTGCGGATATAGAGAGCGAGGTCATTGCCGAGAAGGTGCGGATATAGAGAGCGAGGTCATTGCCAAGAAGGTGCGGATATAGAGAGCGAGGTCATTGCCGAGAAGGTGCGGATATAGAGAGCGAGGTCATTGCCGAGAAGGTGCGGATATAGAGAGCGAGGTCATTGCCGAGAAGGTGCGGATATAGAGAGCGAGGTCATTGCCAAGAAGGTGCGGATATAGAGAGCGAGGTCATTGCCGAGAAGGTGCGGATATAGAGAGCGAGGTCATTGCCGAAAAGGTGCGGATATACAGAGCGAGGTCATTGCCAAGAAGGTGCGGATATAGAGAGCGAGGTCATTGCCGAGAAGGTGCGGATATAGAGAGCGAGGTCATTGCCGAGAAGGTGCGGATATAGAGAGCGAGGTCATTGCCGAGAAGGTGCGGATATAGAGAGCGAGGTCATTGCCGAGAAGGTGCGGATATACAGAGCGAGGTCATTGCCGAGAAGGTGCGGATATAGAGAGCGAGGTCATTGCCAAGAAGGTGCGGATATAGAGAGCGAGGTCATTGCCGAGAAGGTGCGGATATAGAGAGCGAGGTCATTGCCGAGAAGGTGCGGATATAGAGAGCGAGGTCATTGCCAAGAAGGTGCGGATATAGAGAGCGAGGTCATTGCCGAGAAGGTGCGGATATAGAGAGCGAGGTCATTGCCGAGAAGGTGCGGATATAGAGAGCGAGGTCATTGCCGAGAAGGTGCGGATATAGAGAGCGAGGTCATTTCCGAGAAGGTGCGGATATAGAGAGCGAGGTCATTGCCGAGAAGGTGCGGATATAGAGAGCGAGGTCATTGCCGAGAAGGTGCGGATATAGAGAGCGAGGTCATTGCCAAGAAGGTGCGGATATAGAGAGCGAGGTCATTGCCGAGAAGGTGCGGATATAGAGAGCGAGGTCATTGCCAAGAAGGTGCGGATATAGAGAGCGAGGTCATTGCCAAGAAGGTGCGGATATAGAGAGCGAGGTCATTGCCGAGAAGGTGCGGATATAGAGAGCGAGGTCATTGCCGAGAAGGTGCGGATATAGAGAGCGAGGTCATTGCCGAGAAGGTGCGGATATAGAGAGCGAGGTCATTGCCGAGAAGGTGCGGATATAGAGAGCGAGGTCATTGCCGAGAAGGTGCGGATATAGAGAGCAAGGTCATTGCCGAGAAGGTGCGGATATAGAGAGCGAGGTCATTGCCGAGAAGGTGCGGATATAGAGAGCGAGGTCATTGCCAAGAAGGTGCGGATATAGAGAGCGAGGTCATTGCCGAGAAGGTGCGGATATAGAGAGCGAGGTCATTGCCGAGAAGGTGCGGATATAGAGAGCGAGGTCATTGCCAAGAAGGTGCGGATATAGAGAGCGAGGTCATTGCCGAGAAGGTGCGGATATAGAGAGCGAGGTCATTGCCGAGAAGGTGCGGATATAGAGAGCGAGGTCATTGCCGAGAAGGTGCGGATATAGAGAGCGAGGTCATTGCCAAGAAGGTGCGGATATAGAGAGCGAGGTCATTGCCGAGAAGGTGCGGATATAGAGAGCGAGGTCATTGCCAAGAAGGTGCGGATATAGAGAGCGAGGTCATTGCCGAGAAGGTGCGGATATAGAGAGCGAGGTCATTGCCGAGAAGGTGCGGATATAGAGAGCGAGGTCATTGCCGAGAAGGTGTGGATATAGAGAGCGAGGTCATTGCCAAGAAGGTGCGGATATAGAGAGCGAGGTCATTGCCAAGAAGGTGCGGATATAGAGAGCGAGGTCATTGCCGAGAAGGTGCGGATATAGAGAGCGAGGTCATTGCCGAGAAGGTGCGGATATAGAGAGCGAGGTCATTGCCGAGAAGGTGCGGATATAGAGAGCGAGGTCATTGCCGAGAAGGTGCGGATATAGAGAGCGAGGTCATTGCCGAGAAGGTGCGGATATAGAGAGCGAGGTCATTGCCGAGAAGGTGCGGATATAGAGAGCGAGGTCATTGCCAAGAAGGTGCGGATATAGAGAGCGAGGTCATTGCCAAGAAGGTGCGGATATAGAGAGCGAGGTCATTGCCAAGAAGGTGTGGATATAGAGAGCGAGGTCATTGCCAAGAAGGTGCGGATATAGAGAGCGAGGTCATTGCCGAGAAGGTGTGGATATAGAGAGCGAGGTCATTGCCGAGAAGGTGCGGATATAGAGAGCGAGGTCATTGCCGAGAAGGTGCGGATATAGAGAGCGAGGTCATTGCCGAGAAGGTGCGGATATAGAGAGCGAGGTCATTGCCGAGAAGGTGCGGATATAGAGAGCGAGGTCATTGCCGAGAAGGTGCGGATATAGAGAGCGAGGTCATTGCCGAGAAGGTGCGGATATAGAGAGCGAGGTCATTGCCGAGAAGGTGCGGATATAGAGAGCGAGGTCATTGCCGAGAAGGTGCGGATATAGAGAGCGAGGTCATTGCCAAGAAGGTGCGGATATAGAGAGCGAGGTCATTGCCAAGAAGGTGCGGATATAGAGAGCGAGGTCATTGCCAAGAAGGTGCGGATATAGAGAGCGAGGTCATTGCCGAGAAGGTGCGGATATAGAGAGCGAGGTCATTGCCGAGAAGGTGCGGATATAGAGAGCGAGGTCATTGCCGAGAAGGTGCGGATATAGAGAGCGAGGTCATTGCCAAGAAGGTGCGGATATAGAGAGCGAGGTCATTGCCGAGAAGGTGCGGATATAGAGAGCGAGGTCATTGCCAAGAAGGTGCGGATATACAGAGCGAGGTCATTGCCAAGAAGGTGCGGATATAGAGAGCGAGGTCATTGCCAAGAAGGTGCGGATATACAGAGCGAGGTCATTGCCAAGAAGGTGCGGATATAGAGAGCGAGGTCATTGCCAAGAAGGTGCGGATATAGAGAGCGAGGTCATTGCCAAGAAGGTGCGGATATAGAGAGCGAGGTCATTGCCGAGAAGGTGCGGATATAGAGAGCGAGGTCATTGCCAAGAAGGTGCGGATATAGAGAGCGAGGTCATTGCCGAGAAGGTGCGGATATAGAGAGCGAGGTCATTGCCAAGAAGGTGCGGATATAGAGAGCGAGGTCATTGCCGAGAAGGTGCGGATATAGAGAGCGAGGTCATTGCCAAGAAGGTGCGGATATAGAGAGCGAGGTCATTGCCGAGAAGGTGCGGATATAGAGAGCGAGGTCATTGCCGAGAAGGTGCGGATATAGAGAGCGAGGTCATTGCCGAGAAGGTGCGGATATAGAGAGCGAGGTCATTGCCGAGAAGGTGCGGATATAGAGAGCGAGGTCATTGCCGAGAAGGTGCGGATATAGAGAGCGAGGTCATTGCCGAGAAGGTGCGGATATAGAGAGCGAGGTCATTGCCAAGAAGGTGCGGATATTGAGAGCGAGGTCATTGCCGAGAAGGTGCGGATATAGAGAGCGAGGTCATTGCCAAGAAGGTGCGGATATAGAGAGCGAGGTCATTGCCGAGAAGGTGCGGATATAGAGAGCGAGGTCATTGCCGAGAAGGTGCGGATATAGAGAGCGAGGTCATTGCCGAGAAGGTGCGGATATAGAGAGCGAGGTCATTGCCGAGAAGGTGCGGATATAGAGAGCGAGGTCATTGCCGAGAAGGTGCGGATATAGAGAGCGAGGTCATTGCCGAGAAGGTGCGGATATAGAGAGCAAGGTCATTGCCAAGAAGGTGCGGATATAGAGAGCGAGGTCATTGCCGAGAAGGTGCGGATATAGAGAGCGAGGTCATTGCCGAGAAGGTGCGGATATAGAGAGCGAGGTCATTGCCGAGAAGGTGCGGATATAGAGAGCGAGGTCATTGCCAAGAAGGTGCGGATATAGAGAGCGAGGTCATTGCCAAGAAGGTGTGGATATAGAGAGCGAGGTCATTGCCAAGAAGGTGCGGATATAGAGAGCGAGGTCATTGCCGAGAAGGTGTGGATATAGAGAGCGAGGTCATTGCCGAGAAGGTGCGGATATAGAGAGCGAGGTCATTGCCGAGAAGGTGCGGATATAGAGAGCGAGGTCATTGCCGAGAAGGTGCGGATATAGAGAGCGAGGTCATTGCCAAGAAGGTGCGGATATACAGAGCGAGGTCATTGCCGAGAAGGTGCGGATATAGAGAGCGAGGTCATTGCCAAGAAGGTGCGGATATACAGAGCGAGGTCATTGCCAAGAAGGTGTGGATATAGAGAGCGAGGTCATTGCCAAGAAGGTGCGGATATAGAGAGCGAGGTCATTGCCGAGAAGGTGCGGATATAGAGAGCGAGGTCATTGCCGAGAAGGTGCGGATATAGAGAGCGAGGTCATTGCCGAGAAGGTGCGGATATAGAGAGCGAGGTCATTGCCGAGAAGGTGCGGATATAGAGAGCGAGGTCATTGCCGAGAAGGTGCGGATATAGAGAGCGAGGTCATTGCCGAGAAGGTGCGGATATAGAGAGCGAGGTCATTGCCGAGAAGGTGCGGATATAGAGAGCAAGGTCATTGCCAAGAAGGTGCGGATATAGAGAGCGAGGTCATTGCCGAGAAGGTGCGGATATAGAGAGCGAGGTCATTGCCGAGAAGGTGCGGATATAGAGAGCGAGGTCATTGCCGAGAAGGTGCGGATATAGAGAGCGAGGTCATTGCCAAGAAGGTGCGGATATAGAGAGCGAGGTCATTGCCAAGAAGGTGTGGATATAGAGAGCGAGGTCATTGCCAAGAAGGTGCGGATATAGAGAGCGAGGTCATTGCCGAGAAGGTGTGGATATAGAGAGCGAGGTCATTGCCGAGAAGGTGCGGATATAGAGAGCGAGGTCATTGCCGAGAAGGTGCGGATATAGAGAGCGAGGTCATTGCCGAGAAGGTGCGGATATAGAGAGCGAGGTCATTGCCAAGAAGGTGCGGATATACAGAGCGAGGTCATTGCCGAGAAGGTGCGGATATAGAGAGCGAGGTCATTGCCAAGAAGGTGCGGATATACAGAGCGAGGTCATTGCCAAGAAGGTGTGGATATAGAGAGCGAGGTCATTGCCAAGAAGGTGCGGATATAGAGAGCGAGGTCATTGCCGAGAAGGTGCGGATATAGAGAGCGAGGTCATTGCCGAGAAGGTGCGGATATACAGAGCGAGGTCATTGCCGAGAAGGTGCGGATATAGAGAGCGAGGTCATTGCCAAGAAGGTGCGGATATAGAGAGCGAGGTCATTGCCAAGAAGGTGCGGATATAGAGAGCAAGGTCATTGCCGAGAAGGTGCGGATATAGAGAGCGAGGTCATTGCCGAGAAGGTGCGGATATAGAGAGCAAGGTCATTGCCAAGAAGGTGCGGATATAGAGAGCGAGGTCATTGCCAAGAAGGTGTGGATATAGAGAGCGAGGTCATTGCCAAGAAGGTGCGGATATACAGAGCGAGGTCATTGCCGAGAAGGTGCGGATATAGAGAGCGAGGTCATTGCCAAGAAGGTGCGGATATACAGAGCGAGGTCATTGCCAAGAAGGTGTGGATATCGAGAGCGAGGTCATTGCCAAGAAGGTGCGGATATAGAGAGCGAGGTCATTGCCGAGAAGGTGCGGATATAGAGAGCGAGGTCATTGCCGAGAAGGTGCGGATATACAGAGCGAGGTCATTGCCGAGAAGGTGCGGATATAGAGAGCGAGGTCATTGCCGAGAAGGTGCGGATATAGAGAGCGAGGTCATTGCCAAGAAGGTGCGGATATAGAGAGCGAGGTCATTGCCGAGAAGGTGCGGATATAGAGAGCGAGGTCATTGCCAAGAAGGTGCGGATATACAGAGCGAGGTCATTGCCAAGAAGGTGCGGATATAGAGAGCGAGGTCATTGCCAAGAAGGTGCGGATATAGAGAGCGAGGTCATTGCCAAGAAGGTGCGGATATAGAGAGCGAGGTCATTGCCAAGAAGGTGCGGATATAGAGAGCGAGGTCATTGCCAAGAAGGTGCGGATATAGAGAGCGAGGTCATTGCCGAGAAGGTGCGGATATAGAGAGCGAGGTCATTGCCAAGAAGGTGCGGATATAGAGAGCGAGGTCATTGCCGAGAAGGTGCGGATATAGAGAGCGAGGTCATTGCCAAGAAGGTGCGGATATAGAGAGCGAGGTCATTGCCGAGAAGGTGCGGATATAGAGAGCGAGGTCATTGCCAAGAAGGTGCGGATATAGAGAGCGAGGTCATTGCCGAGAAGGTGCGGATATAGAGAGCGAGGTCATTGCCGAGAAGGTGCGGATATAGAGAGCGAGGTCATTGCCAAGAAGGTGCGGATATAGAGAGCGAGGTCATTGCCGAGAAGGTGCGGATATAGAGAGCGAGGTCATTGCCGAGAAGGTGCGGATATAGAGAGCGAGGTCATTGCCGAGAAGGTGCGGATATAGAGAGCGAGGTCATTGCCGAGAAGGTGCGGATATAGAGAGCGAGGTCATTGTCGAGAAGGTGCGGATATAGAGAGCAAGGTCATTGCCGAGAAGGTGCGGATATAGAGAGCGAGGTCATTGCCGAGAAGGTGCGGATATAGAGAGCAAGGTCATTGCCAAGAAGGTGCGGATATAGAGAGCGAGGTCATTGCCAAGAAGGTGTGGATATAGAGAGCGAGGTCATTGCCAAGAAGGTGCGGATATACAGAGCGAGGTCATTGCCGAGAAGGTGCGGATATAGAGAGCGAGGTCATTGCCAAGAAGGTGCGGATATACAGAGCGAGGTCATTGCCAAGAAGGTGTGGATATAGAGAGCGAGGTCATTGCCAAGAAGGTGCGGATATAGAGAGCGAGGTCATTGCCGAGAAGGTGCGGATATAGAGAGCGAGGTCATTGCCGAGAAGGTGCGGATATACAGAGCGAGGTCATTGCCGAGAAGGTGCGGATATAGAGAGCGAGGTCATTGCCGAGAAGGTGCGGATATAGAGAGCGAGGTCATTGCCAAGAAGGTGCGGATATAGAGAGCGAGGTCATTGCCGAGAAGGTGCGGATATACAGAGCGAGGTCATTGCCAAGAAGGTGCGGATATAGAGAGCGAGGTCATTGCCAAGAAGGTGCGGATATAGAGAGCGAGGTCATTGCCGAGAAGGTGCGGATATAGAGAGCGAGGTCATTGCCGAGAAGGTGCGGATATACAGAGCGAGGTCATTGCCGAGAAGGTGCGGATATAGAGAGCGAGGTCATTGCCGAGAAGGTGCGGATATAGAGAGCGAGGTCATTGCCAAGAAGGTGCGGATATAGAGAGCGAGGTCATTGCCGAGAAGGTGCGGATATAGAGAGCGAGGTCATTGCCAAGAAGGTGCGGATATACAGAGCGAGGTCATTGCCAAGAAGGTGCGGATATAGAGAGCGAGGTCATTGCCAAGAAGGTGCGGATATAGAGAGCGAGGTCATTGCCAAGAAGGTGCGGATATAGAGAGCGAGGTCATTGCCGAGAAGGTGCGGATATAGAGAGCGAGGTCATTGCCAAGAAGGTGCGGATATAGAGAGCGAGGTCATTGCCGAGAAGGTGCGGATATAGAGAGCGAGGTCATTGCCGAGAAGGTGCGGATATAGAGAGCGAGGTCATTGCCGAGAAGGTGCGGATATAGAGAGCGAGGTCATTGCCGAGAAGGTGCGGATATAGAGAGCGAGGTCATTGCCAAGAAGGTGTGGATATAGAGAGCGAGGTCATTGCCGAGAAGGTGCGGATATAGAGAGCGAGGTCATTGCCAAGAAGGTGCGGATATAGAGAGCGAGGTCATTGCCGAGAAGGTGCGGATATAGAGAGCGAGGTCATTGCCGAGAAGGTGCGGATATAGAGAGCGAGGTCATTGCCGAGAAGGTGCGGATATAGAGAGCGAGGTCATTGCCGAGAAGGTGCGGATATAGAGAGCGAGGTCATTGCCAAGAAGGTGTGGATATAGAGAGCGAGGTCATTGCCAAGAAGGTGCGGATATAGAGAGCGAGGTCATTGCCGAGAAGGTGCGGATATAGAGAGCGAGGTCATTGCCGAGAAGGTGCGGATATACAGAGCGAGGTCATTGCCGAGAAGGTGCGGATATAGAGAGCGAGGTCATTGCCGAGAAGGTGCGGATATAGAGAGCGAGGTCATTGCCGAGAAGGTGCGGATATAGAGAGCGAGGTCATTGCCGAGAAGGTGCGGATATAGAGAGCGAGGTCATTGCCGAGAAGGTGCGGATATAGAGAGCGAGGTCATTGCCGAGAAGGTGCGGATATAGAGAGCAAGGTCATTGCCAAGAAGGTGCGGATATAGAGAGCGAGGTCATTGCCAAGAAGGTGTGGATATAGAGAGCGAGGTCATTGCCAAGAAGGTGCGGATATAGAGAGCGAGGTCATTGCCAAGAAGGTGCGGATATAGAGAGCGAGGTCATTGCCGAGAAGGTGCGGATATAGAAGTGTGCAGTGTCTTTTCAAGCAGGTCAAGCAAGCAAGTTGCCTTGTTCCATCAATCCATCTCTCCACCTCTCTCCACCTCTCTCCACCTCTCTCCACCTCCCCTCTCCCCCCCGTGCTCTTCCCCTCCCTTTCTTTCCTGTCTGGGGCATGAGAGGATGAAGCTCTCTCCCTTTTTTTCCCCGATCTCCCCATTCCCCCTCTCCCGTTCTCCCTTCCCATCAAGGCCGTATGAGGATGGCTTTGCAAGAAGCATTGGCATCTCCCCATCTCCCCCATTCCCCAATTCCCCCACTCCCCCTCTCCCGTTCTCCCGTTCTCCCTTCCCATCAAGGCGTATGAGGATGGCTTTGCAGGAAGTGTTGGCATCTCCACTTCTCTCCACATCACTCTCTCCACTTCTCTCTACCTCTCTGCCCCTCCCCATCTCCCCCATTCCCCCTCTCCCCCACTCCCTCCCCTCCCAATCAGGGCCATATGAGGATGGCTTTCGCGGGAAGCGTTGGCATCTGCGGATATAGATTGTATTTAACTTCACCTCACCTCCCCCTTCGTCCTCCATTTGTGAAGTTTGTCTCCCTCTCTCCCTCCCTCCCTCCCTCCCTCCCTTCCCATCAGGGCCATATGAGGATGGCTTTCGCAGGAAGCGTTGGCATCTGCGGAATCCATTCCGTGCCAGCTATTTACCCCATCGTTCAGGGTGAGTTGCACCATTTACCCCATCGTTCAGTGTGAGTTACACCATTTACCCCATCGTTCAGGGTGAGTTACACCATTTACCCCATCGTTCAGGGTGAGTTACACCATGTACCCATTCTTTCAGGGGTGAGTTACACCATTTACCATTTTGTTCAGGGTGAGTTGTCATCGAGCCATGTCGTCCTCTGCTCCTTTGCAACCGTCGATCATCTACAAGAGTGATTCAATTCTCTCCGTTTCCCCTCCTCCCCGTTCCTCCCGTCCTCCCCTCCTCCCCCCCCCCCCCTCCCCCTCCCCTGCCGTTCCCCTTTGACTCGCTCCAGAAGCCCTGGGGGGGCAGCGCTTGTATCAATCCGCTACAGCAGTAACTCACTACCCTCCGTTCCCCCGTCACTCCCCCCTACACCTTCCCCCCATCATCCTCCTCCATCTGCCACCAAGCCACACCAGTTCCGTCCCCTTGTGACTCGTTGCCCCTCCATTCCCCCCCCACACACCTTTCCCCTATCACCCTCCCCCACTCTCCGTCCCCATGCCCATCCCTTTCCCCTTCACACCAGTGCCTTCCCCCTGTGACTCGGCCACTGGCCCTGTGGGGGCGGCGCAAAATTAACTCACTCCCTTCCGTCCCCCCTCCACTCCCCCCCACACCTTCCCCCCCATCGCCCTCCCCCATTAACCGTCGTGCCACACCAGTGCCATCGCCCTGTGACTCGCCTCAGAAGCCCTGTGGGGGCGGCGTGTGTGTGCCTGAGGAGGGCGGCTACTCTTGTCAGTGTCCGGCGGGCTTTGTCAGTTTCACCAACGACGACGGCATGCAGACGTGCGCTCCACGTGAGTCTCTTGCTTTCTATTGTGTCCTTCTGTTCACACGCACATGCACGCTTCAGCACTATCCTTCCCATGTCTCACATGCACACGGACATGCACGCTTCAGCACCGGCCTTATCTTGCCTCCTTTTCTGCCGTGTGCCATGGTAACGACGTGATTTTTGAGTCGACTCAAAAGTTACTATGTCTCACATGCACATGCACGCTTCAGCACCGGCCTTATCTTGCCTCCTTTTCTGTGCCCCTTTCTCACCTCCTCCCTTCCTCCTGTTCCCTTTTCCTTGTCATCCCAGTCGATGCATGTGGCATGCAGGCATCTAACCCGTGCCTCACAGGCACACGCACCTTCTTGAGCCGCCTTGGAATGGAAGTATTTTTCACCTCCCCCCTCCCACTATTCCCATTCCCTCGCCATCCAAGTGTATGCATGTGGCACACAGGCGTGCAACCCATGCCTCACAGACACATGCACCTTTTTTAGCCGCCTTGGAAGTCTTTCTCACCTCCTCCCTCCCTCCTCCCCCCTCCCTCCTCCCCCCTTCCCCCCTTTTTCATCCCAGTGGACGCATGTGGCACGCAGGCGTCCAACCCATGCCTCACAGGCACATGCATCAACGACAATGCGGGCGGCTACTTTTGTCTTTGCCCCCCGGGATATGTGAAGGGCAGCCTCACACTCGGATGGGATACCTGCACGCCCTGTGAGTGGCGCTGGGGCCCGGCTGTTGCATGCATGCAGATGGGCAGATGGGCATGCGTGCAGATGGGCATGCGTGCAGATGGGCATGCGTGCAGATGCACTCGGACGGGAGACCTGCACGCTCTGTGAGTGACGCTGGTGCCTGGCTGTGGTATGCGTTCACTTGGGCGTGCGTTCACTTGGGCGGGCTTGTGCATGGGTATGCATGCACATGGGTACCCCTGCATGTGGGATACACACACACATGCACACATGCCTCACATGCACATGCACTCTTGTGTTCTTACACATGTCTCCCGCCCTTGTGTTGTGCTCCTTCACCTCCTCTTCCACCCACCCACCTGCCCCCACCCTTGTTATCCAGCCTCACTCCTCTCCCTCCCTCCACCAAGCTCGCCTTCCTGCATCACATGGACTGTGCTCTCAAACTCGCCTTCCTGCTTCACATGGACTGTGCTCTCAAACGAAGGAAACGGATAGAAAGCTGCAAGTTCGGTTGACCGACCAAACTCGCCTTCCTGCTTCACATGGACTGTTTCTGAGGCGCCTATTTCCGTTTTTTTCTTCTTTTCTTTTCTTTTCTTTTCTTTTTGTTCAGGCGCCTCAAAAGTATTCTCATCCCCCTCCGCCCGCCACACTCGCCTTCCTCCTGGCTCACATGGACCGCCCCGCTCTGCTCGTCTTCTTCCTTGTTTTCTCCGCCTCCCACTCCCCCACCCGTTAGCCCACCCTGCTGCAGTCTCGTCCCCCCCCCCACCACCACGCCCTCCTTCCCAGTGGACATGAACTGCCCGCTCGTCTTCCCCCTTCCTTTGACCAACTCCAACTCCCCCACCCGTTGTTAACCCCCTTCCACTTTCCCCCCTCCCCACTGCTGCATCCTCGTTCCCCGCCCACCACGCCCACTCCTTGCCTTGCCTCCATGCCCTCCCTCCTCCTCTCTACCCCACCTCCCTTCAGCCACTAACTCCCCCCACTGCCCCCTAACCCCCTTTCACCTTTCACCTTCCCCCCCCCCCCTTCTCCAGCCACCGACCCCCCCACAACGCTCACCTTCCCCGTGGACGTGGGCTGCCCACAAGTATACCAGCTCTTTCTTTCGCATTCCGCATTCCTGAATTGGCATTCCCCTTCCCCCCCCCCCCCCCCCCCCCCCCCCCACTTCTCCAGCCACCGACCCCCCCACGACGCTCACCTTCCCCGTGGATGTGGACTGCCCGCTCGTCTACCAGCTCTACGGCCTCACAGAGGAGGCGTTTCTCGCTCAGAACTCCGAGCTGGTGAGCTCCCTCTCTTGACGCACGTGAGGCGAGCACTGCCCCGCACGTGGTGAGCACTGTTCCACTCGGTTTTGACCCAGTTGACTCGCTTGAATAATGCTCTCTAGTACTTTGGAGGCAACTCCTGACGCTCATACCCTCGCCTCTTCCTCTCTCCCCCTTCTCTCCCCCTTCCCTCCCCCATTCCTCCCTTCCTCCCTCCCTCCCTCCCTCCCTCCCTCCCTCCCTCCCTCCCTCCCTCCCTCCCTCCCTCCCTCCCTCCCTCCCTCCCTCCCTCCCTCCCTCCCTCCCTCCCTCCCTCCCTCCCTCCCTCCCTCCCTCCCTCCCTCCCTCCCTCCCTCCCTCCCTCCCTCCCTCCCTCCTCCAATTCCCCCATTTTCCCCGCCAGGCCTCCCCATGTGCCACCATCCCAGCCAACACCGAAATCAACGTGGCTACCATTCACATTTGCTCCCTCCCCCCCTCCCCTCGCCCTCCTTCTCTCCCCACCCTCTCCCACCAGGCCTCCCCATGCGCCACCATCCCAGCCAACACCGAAGTCAACGTGGCACCCACATCCACCTGCATCGCCTGCAGCCTCTTCTACTCCTGGACCAACGACGACTCCTGCTCGGCTGTAGCGGAACTGTTCGAAATCGACGAGACCGAGTTGACTCGCTTGAATCCCGGGCTCGACTGCTCTGGCAGCGAGTCCTGCCACGCGCCCTCTCCAGGCCAGCAGGTGGGTTGGAAACGGTTGAAAGCAGCTTTAACCGCTTACCGGGAATCAGCAACTTGTAATGTTCGGGTCTTGACTGCTCTGGCAGCGAGTCCTGCCTCGCGCCCTCTCCAGGCCAGCAGGTGGGTCATGAAACGCAAAGAAAAGAAAAGCCACAGCCGTCGTTTGAGATGCCTTGACTTGTCTAGGCTTGATTGATGTGGTCTTGACTTCTCTGGTCTTGACTGCGCTGGACTTCACGTAAGCTGTTGTGCTAAAAGCTAGCTAGTTCACGTAAGGATCTGTACAACAGTTGATTGATATGGTCTTGACTTCTCTGGAATTCACCCATCCCATGTGTGAGCGGTGGGAGGGCGAGTGAGCCAGCATAATCCCATCCCTTCCCTCTTCGCCTTCCCCTTTTCTCAATTCCCCCTCCTCCATTCCCCCTCCCTCACTCACAGTCACAGATCTGTGTGCGAGAGGGCGATGGGATGGACTACCCGATGTGCTCGTGGCGGGAGGCCGAGCGAGCAGAGCAATCACCCTCCCATCCCTTCCCCTTTCTCCATCCCCCCGTCTCCATCCCCCCGTCTCCATCCCCCCATCTCCATCCCCCCTTTCCCCATTCCGCAGATCTGTGTGCGAGAGGGCGATGGGATGGACTACCCGATGTGCTCGTGGTGGGAGGGTGTGGAACCAGGGGACACATGTGCTACTCTCATGCAGCGCTACAACCTGCCCGCACTCTCCTTCTTCTGGATGAACCCGGGCCTCGCGTGTGACAACCTCTTCCCCAACGGCATGGACATCACTGGAGTGCAGGTGACACCTGGGGGAGGTGGTTACTTGTGCCTGCGTGCAGGTAGCAACTGGTATTAGGGAGGGAGGGAGTAGCCACCCTCATGCAGCGCTACAACCTTCCGGCACTCTCCTTCTGGATGAACCCGGGCCTCGCATGTGACAACCTCTTCCCCAACGGCATGGACATCACAGGCGTGCAGGTGACACTTGGGGGAGGTGGTTTCTGGAGTGCAGGTGACACTTGGGGGAGGTGGCTTCTGGAGTGCAGGTGACACTTGGGGGAGGTGGCATCTGGAGTGCAGGCGACATTGGGGGCAGGTGTTTACTGGCGTGCAGGTGACAACCAGGGGAGGTGCTATGCTGGAAGGTGGCTTGCTACTACTGGCGTGCAGGTGATATTGGAGGGAGGTTTCTACTGGCGTGCAGGTGATATTGGAGGGAGGTTTCTACTGGTGTGCAGGCAGCTCTTACCGTTTGATCCAGTGCCTTCGGCCCATCCCATTGCGTGTCCCGCACCTAGTCTTTTCTCTCCTCAACCCTGTCACCACACCCCATCTCACTGAACCCCCTCTCACCGCTCTTCATCTCACGGCACCCAAATCCACCCATCTGGCCCCCAGGTGTGCCTCTTCGCATACATCTACAACAGCACCACCAGCGCCAGCTACCGATCCTACTCGCTCACCCAGCCACTCCTCACCCAGCAGCACCGCACCCAGCCGCAGCCCACCGCTCTTCCCCTCCCATCAACACCCCACTCACTGGGAAAGCTCACTCCACAGCAGAGCTCCTCCATACAACATCCCTCACCCCAACAAGGCCTCCTCCATCAATCCCCTTGGAAACGCGTCTGGACAGCAAAGCGCCTCACAGGCAAGCCGCCCTTCCAGCTTCCCCCGTGGCAGCAGCCCGCGTGGCAGCAGCGGTGGGCAAGGCTAGTTAAAGCCGGAGTGCTAAGGGTGGGCCGGGCGCCTGTGTCGAAGCGGCGGTGCCTGGCGTTCTACTCGGTGACGAGGGGGGACTTCTGTGCGCGCATCATATCGCTCAAGTTCCAGAACAGTGCGCGGAAGATGGCAGAGCTGAACAATGGATACGTGTGCAACAATGACCGGCTGTATGTGGGGTTGAGCCTGTGCACGCGGAGGTAGGAGTGCCTCTGAGGGCTGAATAACGGGTACGTGTGCAGTGCAGCGATGATGAGCCGATGACCGCCGCTTTTGTGTGAGGCTGAGCCTCTGCTGCACGCACTGGTAATAGCGAGGCTTAGCTGGTTTGCAGCGAGATGTTAGCTGGGTATGCACTGCACGCGCGTGCGACGATGACCGCCTTTATGAGGGGCTGGCGGGGCCCTTGCCTTGCACGCGCTGCCAGTGAGAGGCTTGCACATGCAGTGTGTTCTGACAGGGCGTGTGCCATGCTGTGCCATGTGCCCCACAGAAAGGCGGTCATCGTTGATTATATGGAGGGGTCTGTGGCAGGGCTTACTTTATCAGAAATTATGTGTCTGAATTTCTGGAATTTGAACACCTTTTTACTGGTTCGTCTGATGCCGTAGACAAGCTATTTTATGTCATCTGATTTTTAAGAGAAACTTTTTTTATTCGTCTGATTTGTCAGACAGCCTTATACGATTCGTCTGAGACTGCAGACATCGAGTTTTTTTTCGTCTGAAACAGACAAATGCCCCCACCTGGCCAGTTGCCCACCTGGCCAGTTACGGACGAGACTAGCCACCCGCCGCGTTACCTTGATGCCACCGGCAGGCTGTACATTGCCGAGGTCGGTGACAACACCACCGGTCCACCGCACGTCACTGCGCCGCAGTCACCCCGCTGGCACGAATCTTGCCAGTTCGTTTGGCATATTCGTGCCAGCGCACGGCAGAAGGCTGCATTTGCAACACCGACAGCCCTCACTGCGCGTCGGGTCAGCGAGGGATGGATGGCGTGGCTGCTTCCAGCAGAGAAGAGGACGTTCATGCATGCGGCTCGGTTCGGACGGTCCCCCCTCACTCCCCACAGCATTAGGTGACTTTCATCTTACCCTCGTGAGCTAGAGCCAGTCGGTGCATAGTTCCACCGAGATGGCAGTAGACCCCCGCACAGAGGCCCCTCCAGCATCCACTCTGCATGCTTCACCTCCTTCCAGTGCGTTGCCCCGCCCACGCACTGGCTTGGATTTCCTTACGGGGGGGGTTTCACCCCTACTCCAGTCCCAGCTGCTGCTGTTGCTCCTTCGGCCTGTCAGAATGAGAAACTCGATTCTGCCGAGCAGCCGTACCCTTTCGCTGAGATGGATGCCGAGCCGCTCATACCATTTTCACCCGTGCGATCACCAACCACATCAAGCCACCATGGGGGTTCGCCATCCGGTCAACCTGTCGCATCATCTGTTCCTGCTAGAAAAAATCCATTCCAATCCCGCTCTCCGTTTCTCCCGCCGCGGTTTACTGGCAAGACCAAATTTGTGCAAAATAAGCTTCCGTTTTCGAAACGCCCAAGCCCTTCCTCTGCAGGGAATCCCACAACTAAGGAAGATGGAGGGGAGCGCCGCGGGTCCGAGAATGCCGGACCGAAGATTCTGTCGCTAGAGGAGCTGCAGCTAAAAGCCAAGCAGCAGTGGAGCCGCCACTTCCCTTGGCTCATCATCGGTGACACCGCCGAAGGTCGACCTTGCATGAGGTGCAAGATCTGCATGGTGTACGCAGATCCTGAGTCACAGTACGGCGCTCGGGGCGAGGGAGGCATCGACATACAGAAGCAGACGATGAGGAAGCATCAGTGGAGCATCCGGCACCGGGAGGCGAAGGACCGATTGGAGCAGCGTGAAGCCCCGCAGAAGAGGCGGGCATCTATCCGAACCTGTTCAAGAAGAAGCCCAACCATCCAGACACCCTCCCCGGTAAGCGGTTTGTTTTTAAACCTGCGTTTTTACTTGTTGCGTTATTGCTGCCGTGCCAAGAATTGACTCTCTGCAATGATATCCGATGTCCCACACCCTACCCTACCCCTCACCATCAGGTGTTGACTGGGGCAAAGCCGCCAAGGAGCTCACCAGCTTCACGACAATACTCTCCCATCACCACGAAGACCTGTCCTTCCACGACAGCCTGTCGCAGATGCTCTCAACGCCGGAATGGGAGTCAGCCTATCCGAACCTCGGCCGCCTGTGGATAGTTGTTGCTGTGCTACCACTCAGCACTGTTGAGTGTGAGCGCGGCTTCAGCCGCCAGAACATCATCAAAAGCTGGGTGCGGGGCAGCTTGTGCGACACGACACTGGGCGACCTGATGACGGTGTCCATTTTGGATTACGAGCTGAACACAGAGGAGCTTGTGGATAGGTGGTATGCCAGCAAGAAGAGGCGGCCGGCTCGAGAGGTGGTCATGGCTGAAGGATCACGCCCGGTGAAGCGATCGCGGTCCCATCACCTGAAGAAGCGCGCTGCAGCATCAGCAGCAGCAGAAGCAGCTACACGCGCACGGAAAGAGGCAGAAGAG